GGGGCATGAAGTTTCCTGACTTGATGGCGTGCTGGCAGGTCGGGGCACAATGGGATGGGCTTGAGTTTCAGTCAGGAAGTGTAGCACAAGTTGCAGTTCCCATTGACTGACTAGGAAATGGCTGCTCCTTGCTAACTGGGAATGGCGACGTATCAGGACGGGCTGTCAGCTGTGCTCGCTGAACAGAGGTACCTCACATTGACGAAACATCTTTCGAGAACTCGTTGCGTCCCGTTGCGGTATTTGATGAACCCAACTAGTAAGAGCTATCTTATTGGTGACTCAAGTAAGATTGTCCTTTATGCGTTTCTCAAGTGATTATCCCATCTGTTGACCCTCCCTAGCAGGAAGGTCCTGGCTACATATGGACTGAGATGGGAATGGCCGCTGCGGCCCGCTGTGGTGGGATTGGCGGTCTTTGATGTGGGTCTTCCGCCCGAGCAAAGACGATCCAATCCTTATTAGTGCTGCGCTGGCGCAATTTCCTGCGCTGTGGTGTCATGAGCCTCCCGCACAATTGCAACCGAGGTGGCTATTCTGTCTATGTCAATGCTAATTAGCAGGAAATATGCACTCGATTGGGGGATCGCACTGTTAATGCTCCGGTGGCGATGAGCTGAGCTTGCCTGGCGGGAAATTCATGCACCGTCTATTAATACCCATCTGGGTAGGCTGAACGGGTAGGCACGTAATAGGCATGATGACAATAGCGCGCTTTAATGGGAACCGCCAGGGGGGTGCCCTGAGACCTAACCAAACAGTCGGGTCCTGGCTCCAGCAATGTGGTTCGGCTTATGATTATGAGTCATGGCGCGCCACTGAGCTGAGACAACACCAGGCACAGGAATAATCGGGAGCGCGAAGGACTTGGCATTCTCTCCCTCAGGTCCGTGTTGATTTCTAGGGGAAATAAGCGCCCCGCAGCTAATCCATGAAGTGATGCCAACCCCCTATCCAGTCCCTCCGAATCCCCTGTTGTTCCATCTATTTTGTGACCCTTTAGAAATACATGCGCGTCTCCTGCTCCGGAGCGAAACTTGACAAGAAAACAGAAATAATACTGGCGATCGAAAGTCCCCACCCTTGAACTAGATGATGAACCGAGGCTCACAAGTCTTGGAATGCCATTGAACGAAAACACCTTTCTCATACGCAACGTGCTGTGTGTCCTGAGACGTTAGCGATCATTGAACGCGTTCGGAGATATGTCTATCGTAGAAGTATGCAGGAGGTAGAGCGTGTACAGCTTGAGATGACGGCACACAAGGCTCAGCCGATAATCCGCTGGTTGTGCTCTAGGTGAAAGAGGAGAAAAACAGTAAAAAAGACATCTTCTGGTTTTTGTTTAATAGAAAAAGAACAAGGCCGTTTGTCGTCGTCTACAACATTGTATGAAGAGAGAGAAAAAAAAGGTGGTGTACAGGCTTTGTTAGCACCAGGTGAAAACCGGGCTTGTCTTGACGGTTTCGAGACGCTCGACGATAACTTTTCGTTGATTCCCCATTTGGCCCTCTGCCGCGGCGTAGCCGATGTCACCCTCGAGGTCGTCGCCGTTGTAAATCTGCTGAGCAATGCTGAGGTTGTTGTGGTGGGACCCCGAGGCGGTAGAGTACCTGCGCTGGTGCTTCTGCCGAGCAGCGTCGTAAGGGTTGAGGGGCGGGTTTACGCTGTGGTAGCTGCTGGCGGGGTGCATTGAAGGGCGCTCCATGGCCGGGAGGCTCGTCCGTGATGGGGCCGGGCCCGAGGAGGCGTAGGCATGGCGTTCGTTGACAGGAGACATGGCCCCGTCGTCGTTGGGCGTGGTGACTTCGAACCGCCCTGGGTGTGGCATGTCTGCCGGAGAGGAGTGCAGGCCAAGGAGGTCGTCAACCTTGGATTGGTTTGCAGGCACTGACCCGGCAATGTCAGCCTCATCCATGCTGTCGCGCGGCTGGATGTTCCGCTGCGAGTCGTTTGAAGTTATGCGCATTGGCACTGCAATTGGCACATCTACCAAATCGTCCCAGACGCAGACTTTGGTACGACGGGTCAGCTCCAGGGGACCGTGATCCGGAGTCTTCAAGGCCTCGACGACGTTCCAGGCCTGGCCTTTCATAACTGCTAGTTGCTTGGCAAACATTCTCTCCTTGAAGTCGTTATCATTTTGGAAGACTCGTTTGAGGGCCAGTGAAGTTTGGCTCCACCAAGTGGCGGAAGTCAGCAAAGGCAGAAAATGATCTCGCGTCTTTTGAGAAAATGGCCGGCCGATGAGATCGACAGGTAAGAAGAGCCAGCCAAAGGGGAAACTTTCAAGTGGCGATTTTGTTAGCGTTGCTTCTGAGAATTGACGTCTACTTATGTGGTTACACTCACCTTCTCCAAGCATCAGGATGTTTCCAGGGCCATGATAGCGAGTTGTCGATTGCGCCTAGGGAGATCTGTGGTGCGCCTTTGACTGCTCTGGTACTTGTGGCATCCATGGGTTTTTGACTTCTGTAAGGATTTGATGCTCTTGGTGCAGAGCTAGTGGGACGATTGCTCAAATCAACCGGTCGTGGCCCTTGCCCTTCTTCCTCGGCCACTGTTTCCATATTCATCCGAATGGGATCTGACACCACTGAGACTTTTTCAGTCTCCCAATCAATCTTGACCATCCAATTATCGAGACCGCGATCGGTATTCCTCATTATGTAGTCCAAGATGACGAGTTTCTCCAATTCCTCCCGGAAGGATTGCTTCAGCGGTTCAGACCAAGCAAACCGGTCTCGTGGTGTTGTTGGCTCTTCGTTGTGTTCGCCGTCACTATATTCGGCGTCGTCTAATCTGGGACCGCTTGAAGGGCGGCAATTCTCAGTCCATTTCCCTTGTCTCCTGTTTCTGTGCGTATCGTTTGTGCGGAATCCAGACCAATACTGATCTGGCCACGGATGCTCTCGGAGGAAGACATTAGCGTCCTTGAAGCCCTTCAGGAAGACTTGGAAGCTGCCCGGTTTCGCTGGCAGAGGGGTCTTTCTCTTTCTGAATTTGCGTCGATCCCAGAAGGGATAGTGAAATGATTTGGAAGAAAGCCAGACCACATCGGTATAGGGGACGAGGTGCGTTCGCAGCTGGCAGTCCAGCACATAAGCTGCAGCTTCGCTCACGTAGGATAGGTTGGGAATCAAGCTGTTCAAAATAAGTTAGTATTTTAAGCTGGAATGACGATGATAGGTACGCAAAATCTAGAACGTACCAAGCTCTTCCGAAGAAGCAAGGGAACAAATTCCGATGAATCCATTTGTTCCACTTTGGATTGCCTGCTGCATAAGGCTCCTCGTCCTTGGGCTTGAAGACTCCCACGATCTTCCCATCAGGATCTCGCGCAAAATAACTTCCGGAACTTCCTTGAGAGATCATGCTTGGATGCACCTCTTGCCGGATTGCCACCCGCACGCTTTCGACTATTGCTTCGAACTCGGCTTTCGACATATGCCCGGGTTGCAGGTCCGCCATGTCCTCTATCGTGACGGGCCGCACCCCATCGGGAGGCTGAAATACAGAATGGTGGATCTCATAACGCTCTTCCTGGCCGGTGCTGTCTCTTCCGCGGCGCTTGAATCGGGATGCGATTTCGTCGGCCCAGCGCTCGAGCCGGGCATTGATGGCTTTGAGGTCGACGCCGGCATTGCTCCCAACACGCTGGCGGAACTTGGGTCTTGATATCGAAGCTCTAGGGCTGTGTGCGGCCGAGCGGTGACGAGGCTGGCCCGTCTGGTTGAATCGAGGAGGAGGGTGCTGCAGCGAGGCTGAGGACTGGCCCATGAGCTCATCGTCGGATTCGTCGCTGAACTGGTCAGCCTGGGCCAGGCGTTCATAGCCGGTCGCGGCGTTTCTGCCGAAATTCATGGCGGCCGATGCGATAAAGAAGCAATAATGTCGATCCTGGGTTGTGTTGTGGAATGCCCGTGGATGGTCAGCGGCGCGTCTGAGCTACAGGCGTCGTGGCAGCCTGCATCTGGTGCCGAAGCACAGCCGCGAAGCTAATAAAGGAGTGAATGGCCTGTCGTCACCTCCTACAAGGTGAGCTCCTCGACAGTGAAGTTCATTGGCGGAGAATGGCTTCGAATGGATGCGCGTGAGGCGCCAGCGAGAAGTTGCGTGAAACGAAAAGTAAAAAAAAGCCGGGAATCACAGATGCAACCTGTCGTCATCCCGCTACCATCGTAAGGGTAGTTGAAGCCAGCACGTGAAGGAGGGAGACAATCTTATCTAGCGCGAACTGCTCCATTCAGGGGACGGGTACGGGGCCCTACCAACTACCTAATTACCCTACTTGCCTATTACCTGGGTAATTCTTTATTTGTTTCTCAGGTTTCTCAGAAAAATGTTTGGGTAATTTGATGTTTGTTTAAAGGTGTCGAAAAGAATTTCCCTCTCAATACATGACTTATTATAGCATACCTTAACATGTGTTACAAAAGTCGTTGCTATGTTCAAATATCTACCATCTGTGCTGACGGATATTGTATAGCGCATTGCTATTACCTACCATCGTCACGGTTGCGGCTCAACGCTATCAAGTCGGGACTTTGTAGTAGTTAGTATTGACAATTGCTTACCTCTTCTAGCATTCTGTACACGGGGTATTGGTCATGTCCCAATTACAGGTCTGCAGTTGGTGTGCGACACTCGCTACGTCCATGGATGCATGCACCGTTATCGCCTGCCTACGCCCTTCATACTGCAATCAGTTCTACATTACCTTACTCATTAAAATCCCCCACAGTAGCCATCTCTATGTTTAAAGGCTCGAATCATACTTTGAGAAATGAGCACCATTTATATTCAATATCATCTCATGTGGTAAATAATGTCAGAGTGAAAACAGGGAATAATATCACATACGAGGACGTAGGTGGCTAGATCACAAGGACGTCGTTGAACACACAGATAACTCCTATCTACTTGCAGGTACTTCTTATCTTCATTCACAAGCTACTTGATCCCCATCCTTCTTTCAAAATCCTTCCAAGCATCTTTTATCAGAGCAATACAATATCCCTATTGCGGCTTAAGCGAATTGCGTCCTGCACCTTTGACCCGAAGAGTCGACCCGTCCCAAGCCTCACAAACCCGTTCGTCAGTATGCCACTTGGCCGTATAAATAGCACATTGAAAATATCTTCTTTCCCGTAGAGAGCCTTAAAACGAGTTGTCCCATAGCGATAAACAGAAGATACGGATACAAATAGTGCAAAAATAATGGGGTTTGGCACAAACGCCTGGTCATCCTGAAGATCAGGCTCCTCAAGAGAGCTCCAGCCGGCAATGGCGCCTTGCTCGGTCGTCAGGGAGACCAGCCGTCGTGGGACTTCGCGGGATGGCCATTGATTCTTTCGACATGCATAATGACTGGCTAAGCGAAATTGAACATCAGAAGGTCGGTTAAGAACAGGACCGAAAATGACGGGCAGAAGGCGGCCGAAAATGTGCAGGGCATTTAGGCTGGCCTCTGGAGCCTGCGAGGCTGCGACTACTTGGCCGGTTGTTACGCTTTTATGCCGAGGGAGGGTGACCAGACCCTCATAGAAGGAGCCATTCCTCTCCTCTCTATCGGTCGTCGTCCCTGACCCTGTCCCTGTTCCGGGGTCCTGAGAATGGTTTCCAGCCGTGGAAGTGATTGTCCTGAGCTCCATCAACGCGATGACATTATGGACGTTGGCCCATACCACTGACGTGTCAATAGACGCCCATGACCACGTCGGGAACCCGTCAAGTCGAGAGTGTATGCCCGGTTCCTTTTGTTCCCAAAGTAAGTCTAGATCGAGACACCATGGTCGAAGGCCACATACTAGACTACTTTTTCCTTCCTGGGCTGCATACTCCTGGGCAACGCCTTTCAAGGCAATGAGGCGATCTTTCCACGGCTTGGATAATTTCAGTGCGGAATATTTGGATGCAATCGCATGCCAGCTAAATGGGCCACTGAGGGTTTCAAATCCGTATCCCGGAAGACCCTTAAATTTGAACGATGTTTGGTATAGACAGCAAAGAAGACGCTCGATACCAGGACTCGGATCTAAGTCCACTGAAGAGGCACTCCAGCGCTCTGCTTCTTGGCATTTGCATTGTAGAATGATGCCTTGCTCTGTGTACCAAGCAATTCGGCGGCTGAACATCCGCTCCTGGAATACCCAGCCCCGAGAAAGCAATTCATTTTTCTCGACATCCTTCCCTTGTTCAGCAAGCTGGTCAAACTGACGGGATAGATAGAAGTAACCGTCCCGTGTGCCTGTTGTATTCCGGTAAGGCAGTCGATAAAGCTTGTATAGATGGTACTCAGGGAAATGAAACAGGCCCAGGGCTCTCTTTTCGGGCGGAATTGCCGCCATAATGGTTAAGACTGCATTCTGGTAGTAATCTGACATTTGGGCAGATTCAGTCTTCGAATCTTCAGGGCTGTCTTGGATAATGCAAAGGCTATCTATCCAAACATATTCAACGCTGATCCTGGCAGCCACAAGGAACACGTCGAGGAAGAGGGGATCAAGATTCTCAAATCCCGATCCTGCTTGGCGCTCTTGGTAGTTGGATAGCGTCGTCCTAGTCCTTTCCGTTTCGCTTCGACACCATCGGTGGCTCAGGCAAAGATACGAACCAGTTCTCCCCCGAGTCTCCTCTAGCGCAACACGGACGGGGGAGCTGGCTGAAGAAGAGGCTTCGGGGAAGCTGACTCGAACACATCGTGTCGGGAGCGGCGAGGAATTTCATGTATCTTCCGGGTAAAGGACAATGTTGTAGTACATCTTTGGTGGTTTCCGCAGGAAGCTAGCCAGTCCTGTATTCTCTGGCATTCTGATCTAGATGACGGATCGGGATCGGCAGGAGGAGCCCAACTATATCACCACTGGTTGCTGCTGGGCTCTCTATACAAAATTTAGTTGTTGGTTTCTCCTGTATCAAATCACTCACCGGATTACCCACCATGGTCGGCATGAAGATTCAAGACGAGGGGTGCTGTGTAACCACCAAAATAGAGAGAGAGCTTTGGATCGTCCGAGATTCTCAGAAGAAGCATACCAATCCCAAGCCCGGAGGCGTTTCTAGGCTCTTGAGCGTCGCTCGGAGTTTCGTTTATGAGGCGCCCTGAAGTCCAGTGAACCCAGCGAGGTTGTTGACGGAAAATTCGTCGTGCTCTGGGTAGGCGTTGATTCCACGCAACTATTAATTTGCAGAATGAGCATCCCTGTTGGTCGCCAGCTTCAGAGGCGGCTAACTCAGTGGTCACCCATGGATGTTTTCCCCTCGAAAAGGCCTGGATATCGAAAGACTGACAATTGATACAAAGACTCATTGTCGTGTTTGGTGATAGAAGTGGTGTTTGGTGTACCTGAAAACGAGACGCCAGTCAACCTTTGACATTGCCAAACTGATTTAGAGCGGGGAGGTGTCAGATCGGAGTGAGGCTGAGAGCGGCTGAAGTTGGCTGTGATGCTTTGGGCACAAACGGCCTGGATTGGACAACGTGGGGTAAGCTGGCCTTTTCCCTCCCCTACACACATTCTCGTTAGATGCTTCTTCGAGGTGAGCATAGAAAAGTGCCGATCATCACTAGTGAACCGACCAGACTGGATACACCCCATGAACGAACGAATTCCGAGATGGGTCAACGTAGGTTTGAGCTAGATGTTCCTCGATGGCGCGAAGTCCTTCTGCTGCGAGCTACTTTCATCCTTTTCTTGTTAACAGCTTGCGGTCGATGGGCTCTCGCTGCCGCGGTGATTGAGATTAGAACAGGAGTTTATTGGTATGAATTCCCAAATAACACATACAGAAGCCGTGGAATCTTTGCGTATCCTCAACCTTCTACCGGTCGAGATTTTGGTATCGCTCAGTTTGATGGCCAAGCCGGTATGGTTCAATCTCTTCTCGCGACGTCCTTAGCCCTTGGCTTCCTTGACTGGCTTCCATTCTACTTCCTGGCGCGGCACAAGGACAACCCTGTCTGGGCTGATGGATGGAAGTCAAAGTTCATTATCCTTGCCTTTGCCACTGTGCCCGTTGTGCAGTTATCTATCGCCGTTGTTTGCTGGCAGTCATCGGTTGCCTTAGTGCATAGCTGGCTGCAAGCTTCAGCCGTCATTCAGTACAGGGACTTTGTCAGAACGGCGTATCCAGGCCGCAATGACCTGGACCCAGAGCGACGCGAACTCGATCCTTTTTTGGCTGTGGCGACTGCACTCGCCATTGTTTCAATCACCGATGCTACCATGCGTTGGGCTAACCTTCTTATATTGCGAGTCATACCAACAACCTGGAGATTCCGACAGCGTCGAAAGGCAAGCCATCTCGACACTCCATGCGAGCTTGAGAACATTCAGATAGAAATAGGCGGGCTAGTTGCAATGTTGTTTCTTAAGCAGCAAAATCGAAGGATGAGTGTTGAGCATCTAAATAGAGAAGTGACCTCTCGACTTTTAGACAGCGTTGGGCCCGCTCAAGTAACTTTTGAGCCTCAGGCCAGTATGACCGCCGAGCTAGAGACAGGGACAAATAGGTCGACGCGGGCTTCCGTGTATATCTGCAGAAGCGCTCGGATTCCAAGAGAATATCATCGACTTTTTCTTAATTGGTTTATCGAGCCCTTAGCTTGGAACTGGACTCTCTTCTGTTTCGGGGCTCATTTGCTATGCAACCTCATCCACCTTGGCCTTATGCACAGGCCTGGTAGTACCTGCAAACCGTAAGTTTCCAGACACACGATCAGAGGTTGATTGATATGGATTGCTTTAGCTTACTCTTCAAGGGGCTGTGGGTTTGGCTTAGTCTACCCAACCTGGTGGATCGCCACTGTGCTGGTTATTTCTACTCTTATCCGACACCGCATATCTTTCCATTACAAAGTCAGGGGGGGGATTGAAATTGTCCGCTTTATTGCAGCCTTCGTCTGGATTGGCTTAGCGCTAACTATTGTTGGTGTGGTGTTGATGATGACTTCGGATAGTCTTATAAGTGGTTCACGTGAGTGGGGAAGTCCTGAGACTCCAGATGGGGGGGGCGATAGCAATCAGTTTCCTTCGTTGTATCACTATTATTCTGTGGCTTATGTCTATCTTTCTCATTTATTGTTGTAATCCCTCGCTGGATCAACTTCAGACAGGTCTCATGGCTTCGTTGGATCAATTCTAGAAAGACAAAGCAAGATAGGACTATTATCAGCCTTTTAAGAACTAAATAATATAAATAGGAAAATGAAAAATAATATAGATAATACTCAGCTTTTTACACACTTTATAGCTCAACAAACAGGCTTAGAGACTTGGTAATATGCTCACGTACTTGTGACTCTACGGTGCTGGAAATGTGAGGAAGAGGTGAAGGCTCATGTACGTAATGGCGGCCATGTTCGTCTACATACGACCATGCCTAGTAGAAAATCCGGGATCCCTCTGGCACTAGGATAGCATTATCACGGGTTATTTCTGGCTAAGACCCTCCTTCAAACCTGCTGGCCTATCGCTTTTCCTCATTTAGCATACTACCCAATTTGATGAGTGTGTTTAGGCGAATTAGCGCCTCATCGACATTCTAGAGAGCGCTCGAGCAGAGCTAAAACAAATAAACGGGCAAATATCTATGACGCTGGCTTAAGGGATCTAATTCAATTCCTCTTCAATCTATCCAAAAAAAGTATCGAGTAAGCGAAGATACATCTATGGCCTTTTACGCAGCACTCCTATAGTGCCGCCACTCTATGAATGAAAAAATGTATGCAAATCTCGTGGCAAACATATTTCAAGCAGATTCATGGGAGGCAGTGCGTAAGGAGATAACAAAATCCTAAATGGTTGTGACTTTATCGATCGAATGAGGTCAGCCTGGGTTGGGGTTAGTTTCAAGTTGACTACCCCCAGTATTTGGAAGCAACCCAAATGTTCCAGAAAGCGACAATCCCCCTCTGTTCTTTTTTTAGAGTTGCAGCAAAATGTCAATTCGATGGACCGATGAGGAAAGGAAATAAGTTGTGTCGGTATTACGACCAAAATACAAAGCCTTTACGGGACAGCACGCATTCAAGGAGCAGCAGGTCCAGATAAGAGAGTTACGGAGTGGCCTACAGAGTTCATCCCACTTTTTAGGCCAGTTGCTCAGCCACTACGACGGCACCTTGCTGTCGGCCTATTGTAAAACGTGCTATATCCCCGGCGCTAGCTTGTCTACCGCCCATCTTGAGCCTTTTTGGTTAGAGGAACATGCAGTATGTGAAGTTGTGCTACCCTCTGTTACCCCTCTTCCCTCCGTTCCGAGTAGGTGAGCATGTGCTCCGTAGGGATGTACGGGGTCAATCGATATCTTCCTCCTGGGATCGGAACAGCCCTGCACTCAATTGACAGTAAGCCTGATGTTTTTATGCGAAAGGGGTGGTTGCTATGAGATAACGCTCTCCGGCCGCTGATGCTGTTTTATCGCCGTGCAATCGAAACTTAGGTGACCATCATCGCTAAGCCCAGGCCTAGCGGAAAGTCTGTTCAATGGAGTGATGACAGCGGCCATCTGGTAGGCTCCTGGTAGTTCGGTGCGCTGATCCTCCGCATGATCATGTGCTTCGCAGACTCCAGGCATCTGCCCATCTATGCTAGGTAGCACCTCTGTACATCCATGGTAGAATTGTGACGCCTACTGGCTCCAGTTGACGTTGTCGCTGACGATCGGCCTGTCCTAGGCTCCGACTAACTACCCCAGCCTTGCTTGGCCAGGCAACAAAGTTCGTGCTACGATGGGCGTTGCCTGACCATACCCGAGCTTGAGGCAGACGGTACCTTTGGGTCGGGTCCAGAATGTAGGCAGGCGTCGGTCGGACTCAATTGCTTACGGCACCATGCTGGAACACCCTCGAGAAATGAAAGGCGGTTTTACATTTGTCGAGTTTGCGACTCAGACGAGGTCTTGGACATTCCTGCCGGGATGATGCATGCCGCATGTCTAAGGGGTTCCAATAACATCCCACCTTTCACATAAACATCCCTACCGACGTGGCCCGGATAGCCGTATGGGCACGTCCCTGACACGGTCTGAGGCGTTCTGTTCTGTGACGCTCCCTGACGCTCGCTCCCACCAGCTTGGTCATCGCCCAGGATCCAGGAGCCCGCCGGCGCACACCCCGGGCGCTGCTAGTGACCAAATGACATGCAAAAGGATCACCAGGCCTCTCCTGGGGAAGTTTGGGAGTCTCCCCGCCCCGTTGCCGCGCTGCCCCCGGTCCATCAAGGCCACTTCTGGCTTGTTCCAGTTGACTTTGGTGGCTGCTGTTAGCGGTGACTCAAACGGCCTCTAACCGAAAGAAACAGCATTAATATTTATGGACCGGGTGTCGATGGCGCTCTGGTGGTTTGGTGGCTTTTGCTCAGCTGACCCTGTCAATGCCCTGGGACCCGTATTCACTAAGGTGATTGAAGATGGCGTTTGGGAGTGTCTCATTCCAAGTTATTTCATGCCCCCTAGCAATAAGTAAATAAACTAATTTTTGCTCCCTGGTTCGCTTTAAGTTCCCCTTCGCTTCCTCATCATTGCTCCTGTCCCCTTCTCTCCATCTTCCTCTCTCATTACTGAACAGCATAAAAAGGACATTCCCCCCAAAAGGAAATCCTACCTCGACCCTCCCTTAATAATCCACTGCCAACCTTGAACCATCCAACCACACCCTCCGGCTCTAACCGTGTGTTGTATTTACCTTCGGCATCTCCAGCAAAGCAACCATCCTTTTTAATCACACAACATACTTCCAGACAAGCTCCTTGGACTTATCGCCGTTCTTTCTAGTTCTCCGGCAGAGCTAGAGAAGCAATAAGATCATCGAACGCACCCCACCTAAACAGCCACATGAAATCCCCCATTGCAGACGATACCAAGATGCTTGAGAACATGCGGGGACGTACCAGAGATCGCCGGCGAGTGCCATCTGGCTCCAAGGCAGAGCGAGCAGATGAATCAAGCACGCTGAGGGGCCGATCTCGCCATCGCGCCTCCTCGCCTATGGGCTCCTACTCGCGAAACCCGTCGCCTTCATTGAAATCCCCCAACCGCCATCTGTTCCTCCTCAACCGAGTCCGCGATAGCCGACGGGAGCACTGCCCATCCAGAGTCCCATCTCGGTCTGATAGGACGGCATCTCTTCGGCGGGGACAGAGAACACGAAGCTGCAGCCGAGGCCCACAAGCCCGCCGAGCTGTGGACCATCCATCCAGCCTGAGGAACGAGGTCCTGGCTGAGGATGCCCAGAAACTCGAATCCGCAGAACAGACTTGAGGAGGAGGGCATGTCCCGCTCCTCTATCCACGCTTGAGCGCATCATCAAATAATGGCACCATCACGAGAAACGACATGAGGTCCCTCCGAGAGGGCTACACAAACGAACCTTGCTTGTACAATAACGTTAAACGAATACTGTGGATTTTGGTAGCACATGAATTTGGCTAGGAAAATTGGGTTTGAAATGCGTTGCGCCTGACGAGATTGGAATCGCTGCTTGGTCTTTATTTCTTTGCTTATCTTTCTTTCCTCCTTGACATCATCAATGTTAGCTGGGCTGTTCCGGGCGTTGGATTTCACTTCATGATATGTCATTATCTCTGCACTAATATTAGCAAAAGTGGCAGCTGTCTAGCTCGGCCTGGGCAGCCGCACTGATTGAATAAATATCATATCTCATATTCAATTTTTTAAGTGATTGAATATCGTGTGGCGAAGGCCGGTAGAGAGTCAACTTACACACCCGAATGAATCACTATGCCGAACCGATCCCTATGGCGATGTTTTTAGTGGAACCTTCAGCGCCCAGTTGCCCGTTTTTAGGTCCACATGTCAGGCCAGAGGCAACTTCCCATTGGCCTACCCCATCCATTGCTCTAAGTACAACGCCTGATAATCGTACTCCATGTCCGAAATCTTTTTCTTGATATCATGTTCGCCTTCACCCGATCACAGGATCAAGACCGCGCGACCGCAATTGCCCGCCCCCCGACGCCGACCTGGTCATAAGGTCGCCAACAGCCACTTCTCTGGTTCCAGCTATGCTGGAAAGGGCAGCAGCTACCTTTGAGACGGGCAAGCTTCAACGGGTCCTCCCCCGGGCTACACACCACTCGAGGAAACATGCTGCCGGTTTCCCTCAGCAACATGGACACCTTTTGACTGGGCCCCCGCGCAGCCATTCAAGGCCGTCCAGCCACCAGGCCGCTCCCCCTGATAGGGAGCCTCATCCTCGACATGCCTGTCCCCGTGGTGAATCGACCGACCTCCTCGACTTCCTCTACCCCAAGCCCACCCACGCCCTCCTGCGACAAAACCGCCATGACTTGGCAAGACCTCGCAAGGCACTCAATGTTCTGAGTAGGATTGACAACCTGTGTGTCAAGTCTCCCGGTGGGAAGCGATTCAATTCGAATGGTGCGGCAAAACCTCTAGACAACTCGGAGGACAACTTGGATGGTGCAGAATCTCAGCAACCTGAGGCTCAATTGCTATCTGTTATCAAAAATGGCAAGGCTGAAAGCCAATGGGATCTTAAGAAGGAGCTTAGAACGAAGGATCTGTTCGCCATCCAGGACGAGAAGGAGCTCAATACCACTGTAGACGCCGTTGCACTCACCGCCGAGGAGGACGTCAATCGCCTCCCGAGCCCGTCTTTCCATTCGATAAGCAAGTCTCTGAACGACCTGTTGGCGGATCCAGATGGAAATAGTTATCACGATGTTTGGGACTTGTACTGTCGGTTGAACATGGTCGAGCAGATCCTCCTTCGACCCCGAGTTGTTACATATCTGTCAAGATCGCGCAGTGTTGTCGAAGCTGGTCGTTCGAATTCCCTCATTCGACAGGTCGAACTCGAACAATGGGATGACGAATTTCTATCCTCAGCAGTGCTTGTTTATTTGAGGTCTGACCAGCAACAGGCGGCTCTTGATATCTTCAAGGCTGGAGTGGATGCCAAAGGTCTGGTTGGAGGTATCGAATATCTCATCGTAGACTCGGTTAATAAACAGCAGTGGGCCGTTCTGTTAGATGCTTGGATAACTTACTGCGAGCATTGTGCAAGCATGCCCGGCAATGCCCAGAGAAAGCCAGATGAGCACCTCTTGTCCCCGTTGTCATCCTTGTCAAACCTAGGAGCTCTCTACTACTCATTCGAGAGATTCCTGGCGAAAGACCGGAGAAAGGTTGAGCGGCAACTTGACCGTTCTGCTGTCTCCAAGTCTGGTTTGCGTATCATTCGGCGACGATTCGCAGAGGAGGCTTTGGCTCAGTTGTGCCCACCGTCCCAAGCGTCCACCATCCTGGCTTTCTGGAGAGATGGCATATTGTATGACCACTATCTTACCAATATGCTTGATCAATGGTACACGAAGAAGATTTCTAAAGCTACCGCTCGCACGCTTTTGGGCATTTACCAAGCATTCAGGAAGCTCCCAGGGGCAAAGCCGTCCCATGCTGTCTTGCGAGGGGTCTTCAAGCTACAGTTTCACGACCTCAATCCCGCACCCCTTGAACAGCTTCGCGGTGACTGGATCCGGTTTTGGGGAGAACTGAGCCAGTGGGCCTATGAGAAATATCTAAAGCTGTACGCCTTTCGCGGAGACGTGGACCGTGTACGTCAGCTATGGGATAGTTACGTACAACAATATCCCTCTAGCGTAGAGACTCCACGGGGTTTCCGAAGCACGATGAATGTTTACGCACAGAATGGAGACATTGCGGGGGCCGAGAAGGAACTCGACAGGATTATCAACCGTTACAATGTTGAGCCTGACCTGGATATTCATAACACGCTCCTTAAATGCTACATGAGGGCCAACGACTACCAGAAGGTTTTGGCCTACTTCGATGAAATCTCTAGGGAGCAAACCCCGGATTCGTTTACATATGCACACGTCATGGCTATGGCCTCAAAGCTGGGCGATCTGGATACGACCATCGAGTTTTTCAACAAGTCCCAAAAGAATCACGTCCCCCTTTCGAGAGAAATTGGGCTGTCTCTGGTGGTAGCATACTGCAAAAACGATGGCCTGGTCGAAGCCGAAAATATCTGTGTTGAGCTGGCACAGCGAGGGGCCTGCAGCACGGCCATCTGGAACCAGCTCTTACATTATAATGGCATGTACGGACGGCTGTCAAAGTGTTACCTATTGTTAAATCAAATGAAACAACATGGATTCGAGTGGGACCAGGACACCATCGGCTGCCTTTTGAGAGCCTTGATTAGGGTCAATCAAGTTGGACCTGCATTTGTGGTTGTGCGGGATGCCGTCAGGGATGGGCTGCGTATTTTGCAGCCGGATCACTTTTCCATGGTCATGTCTGGAGCTGCTCGGAGTGGTGACCGTGGCATAGCGGAGAGCTTGATGAGATTGATGGAGGAAAACTCCATTCCCGTGCCCTTCAACGCTAAGGTGGCACACTCCTACGTCTCTCTCAAGGCAGCACCAAATACCACGCGCACACCCGCTATGATAAAGAGCATGGTCGCCTCGCTGCGGCCCTCCGACCCGAACGCTAAACTCAATGTTGGGGATATCAGGCGGCGAAAGCAAGATGCGGCCAACATGGGGCGAGCGGTACTTCTCCTGACCGAATTTCGTCAGTTCGTTAGTGTCGGGGAACTATTGACAATATTCACCGATATGTTCCCACAGTACAAGACAGGTGAGCCGATGCCACAAGACATCGTCAGTGCGTTGATGCTTGCCTATCATCGGGACGAGAACTACGACCGGGTTCATGAAGTATGGAGTGCAATGTGGCCCAAGATACTCGATCGCTACGTAAAATTGGGCACCAATGAGATTTATCCTACTCATCAATACGATGTGACGATGATCATCTCCCGCTTGGCTCAGACATTTGCCGCCCAGAAAGATGGGGATGGGCTGGCTAAAGTCGTGAAGCAAGTTACACAGGTTGGATTCAAGCTCACTTCGAACACCTGGGATCGAGTCATTCGCTGCCTGGCGCAATTCGGGCAATGGGAGACAGCGATGGACTGGTGCGAGAGGCTTCTCATGCCTCAGTGGCGAGGCATGAACCCACCCAAGCCGCCTCTGAATCGCCGACGCGAACAGATGCATCCCAGCATCCTCCATCCCAGGAAGCCCATGATCATGGCGTTGCAAAAGGAGTGGATGGAAGCTCGGAAACTTGGTGCATGGTCAGGAGAAATGTCGCGTAAGCTTATGGACATGGAGGAAAAGTACCCTCTCCTGCATCGTGCTTTCGCCGAAATGAAAGCCTCAGATCAGTCTGACCGCTGGGTTTTCGGAAGCGAGGCTGAGCTGGACAAGGCTATCTCTGCCTTACTCAGGCCGCTGCCACTGGCAGAACTACTCCGGATGGAGAAGGCTCTGGAAAAGCAAATCAAGCTCAAGCAGCTGGATGCTGGGCCGGACGACACTCACTTCCTCAGGGTCGATGAGGAGAGCCGTACCCCTATGGCGCTGCAACGCGCCGAGCTGCAACAACTTCGGTCTGTCTTGCAAACAACCCTCAGTGCGAGACAAGATGCCGAGGCGGACGACCTGGATGAGCTAGACGAGTCAGATGAGGCTACGATGCCGCAGTAGGATGGCTTATGATTGTGACTTCCGCCCTCAACGACTGTATAAACTGTATGATAAGGATAATTGTAAGCTCATATTGTAATATGTAGACATACATGTATAGTATTCGCATAGAAGCCAACAGTTATAGAATATAATCGCTTCTTCCCAACTCATCAAAGGACTATTACACCACGTTGCATGTTCAATTTGTGTTATATTCTCTCAAAGTATGGTATGTATGTAATTAACCTCAGCTCAATGTATCTCTCTGCCCCGGGTCGGTCATGTTTCTTTCCTTGTTTCTGTAGCTGTTATTGCCAGCGGTCAAATACCAAATATCAGAGACCAACGCCAACCTGATAGAAAGCAGCGTTCAACTCCAATGTAAACACATTCTAGATTTGGAAAAAGAGCAAATGTGCCGGCTGGGGCGCAGAAACACCCCCCGTTCGATGAATTAGTAGGCGGGCATGCATGAGTTTAAGAAAAGCAATGACACCGAAAACCCCAACCTTGTTCTAAGTTAAAACGTCCAGAGCGAAACTCACTAATGTACATTGGGTGGGCATATAATCTCCTCTATTGGAGAGAGAAGTGACGACCAAGGGTGCTTTTTTAAAAATCATGGTCAAACACCAACTCTGCCTCGCCGGGCTTGACACCCAGAGACCGAAGGCGCTGGGAAAGAAGACTCTCGGAGCCCCCACCCGCGGGCCGTGGCCCAGGCGGGCTGAAGAAGTTCCCTCCGTAGCCGAGGTCGCCCTTGCTGAGCTTCGTGTAGGGCGACGCCGCCGCGACGCCCCATGAATCAGCGCCGGACGAGTCCTTGGTGGACGGGCGGCTGGCCTGGGAGGACTGCGGCGAGCGGAACTCGGCCGCCGCGCTCTCGCTGACCTCGCTGCCGGGGCGGCGGTCCCTCGCCGCACTCCCAGGGAGGCGGAGCGGGATGGGCTCGAGGGGGAGGACGTTGCTGATGCCGAGGCCTGACGACGATGCTGCGCCCATGGAGGAGCGGGCGAACATGCCGTCCACCATGTCGAGGGATAGGGGCGGGGGGCCGCCGCCCATGGTGAACCCTGAGCTCCGCCTCCTGAATGCCTTCTCAGCGGCAAGCATGGCTCCCGGCCCGTTGGAGGTCGAGAGCGGTGGGTGCATCACTCTGATTGGCTTGTAGGGGCTGAAACGCGGCTCTGGCCATGTGGTTTCATTTCTTAATTTCTCCTTGCCGTCGGGAACGCGGTTGGCAAAGACGAGACGAATACTCTTGTAGAGGTAGAATCGGCCCTTTGCGGGACAGCAGATATGCAGATGCACCAGGTACCGGAGAGTTGGTCTCTCTACCGAGCCAGCGCCCCCGTGGTTGGGGACGCCGTCTATGATGGGCCCTCCAGAGTAACTCCTCTGCCGGATGAACGTCTTGGTCCCCGGTTCCATGCCCTCCAGGTCGTACGGGACAAGGAAGAGCTTCACCGCCGTTTTGTTCTGGTTTTTTATCACAATCTGGATCTGGCCCTTTTCCGGGATCCTGTAACTGCCCCCAGGGGGTGCTCTCGGGGAGGCTGATCGGCGTTTGGGTCTTGGAACTTGCCGAGTTTCAACATCCATGGCCTGTCCCGCTGTTATGGAGTCGCCGGCCCCTTCGACTGATTTACGATCAGCAATTCTGCTGTGGGCCTTTCTTCTCGACCGAGATTCGTCAGCCATGTTTGGCAGGCCATTTTCCAAGTCTATCTGGCCGACGTAGGGGCTTGGGCCGTCCTCGCCGCTGGAACGGCCATGGGCCGTGGTGCTGTAGCTATAATACACGGCAGGGAATGGCAGCGTCACATGAGCTGGGCATTTGAGGCTGGGCTTGCATTTGCCCATGCCAAGGACGCCGATCTGGGCGAGGAAGTCAAGCGGCTTTGAGGGTGTCGTAGACATGCGCCCGCGCAGAATACTCTCCTCGTACGACCCGACCATGGACGCATGCTGCTGGATCGGGGACGAATCCGAGCCGAAAGACATTCGTCTTAGCATGGCTGGGGTCGGAGGTGATGTTGCTGAGTGCTTGAAGCTCGAGCTGGACGTAAGCGACCTTCGGGGTTGATGTGCTTGGTATGGCAGTGAGCCTTCACGGCGATGGAAGGCCATCCTTCCTGCAAAAGAGGACGGCCCTCGGGGAGATGGAGAGGCATAGGGAGACGAGAAGTTGGAATACAGAGTGTGTCGTCTCGAGGCATATCTGCCCGACGCAAAGTCGATGCTTCCCAAAGGGTCAGAAAGGTCCAGCTCGTCATTGCTCTCAGACTGCACTAGTGGACTTGTGGGAGGTTGATAGGCAAAGCTAGAGGAGAAGGACGGAGATCGAGCTACCGGGGATGTGACGAAGGTTGCGGATAAGGGCGTGCCTCTCTGTGAAAAAGGCCTCCTCTCATCGAACTGGAAGGGTGTATAATGCCTTGGGGGAGATGTAGCCAGCCAGTCATTCTGTGGTGGGATATCTGTCTGTACTCGGGCCTGCTGTGCTTCACTCTCTCGTTTCGTCTCTGGCGAGGTGTCATGCGTGAAGTCGCCGCTGTGGAGAGCCGATCTTGGGCGTTCTATGCTCAGCCCATTACGTAGGTTGAAATCTGCTGTCGTCGTGGAGTCTTCGTCCTTCTCTGGAGTAATCTTCGCCGCCGGGAGTAGGTTGGAGGATCTTGAAGGCGTTCTCGGCGGTCTCGTAGGTGGACTGACTGGTCTGTCCTGCTGGAAAATGACCTGATCACGCTTCTGGTCAGCGAACGCTGTGATACTTGTATTTGGAGGCAGGATGGGTCGTACATGGCGGTTAGGGATCCATGTCGGGCTTTGTCCCCTCTTTAGCCTTTCAATCAACTCAGCCCTGTCTGCTGTGGCGGTGGAATCGTCGGCAGGTGTGTTGAACGGTGACCCCCCGGGGCTTTCAAGGACTGGTCCCTCACATAGCTCGGTTCGCAAACTCTCCTCGGAGAGCCTTCTGGTCTTGGAAGCGGCATGCGGTATGGTAATGGCCTCTGGAGTCGTCTCGGGGCCAAGTTCGGGATGAGACGGGTGATCGACAGCATCGCTGCTACAGCAGAGATCGTCTTGGAAGATTGGCATGGCAGAAAGGCAGAACCACAGCTAGGCTGCGGTTCTGGAAAGATAGGCAGTCGTAAACTATCATCAAATCCGAGTATCGAGGTTTGTTGCTTGAAGTTGGAAACCTTGGGGTCGGTAGAGCTGGGGGCGGCTAGGCGATAAGATAGCTGCCCATGTCTCGTGAGCGAGGTCGGCTTGGGCTAAGCAGAGCCTTCACTGCATGAATCAGACGAGTGCACAGACACGTATAACTTGGGCGTTTTATTCTGGTCCTAATATGCAAGCACCCAACCAGCGAATTAACTCCATGGACAGCAGCAGAGCCTGCCCAACGTCTTTGAAGGTGCGGTGAGGTCCTGTCGTTCCATCAGGGTCCCGTGGAGGCTAATGCAGTGGATGGGTCCGTCATGATGGAGAAGATGCAGTGAGCGAGATGTGCCGTCATTGGTGCCAAATTAGAGTGCGGGATAGCACATGGTGTTTAGAGTACCTGCAAATTACAATGGCTCAGCGTTGTTAGGCCTACATGTGCAGGTATTGCGCCCAAAGTCGTGTACTCTCTAGGTACCCACTACTTGTTTGAGTAAGCTTTAAGTGGTCTATCTCATTCTGCCAACAACACAAGACGGCGCACGACTCCTCCGTTTAGATCTTCGGCGAACGGAGAGCAGAAAGCCTAAAATCTCCGGAAGAGTCCTAAGCAGACTGGCTGGGAATTCTGTGGGAAAAGCAAAGCGTCTGGAGGCTCAACTGTAGATCCCCTGTACACATCCATTCTTTAGCGGGCCCCGCTGTGTCTTGACTGGCTGCAGCATCAAAAACTTGCAACTGAATCTCATCTGTCCAGCTCCAGCTTCATCAATCCAGCCACAGCTGCGTGCCATCCCAGCTATAATCATACGAAATGGCGCCCAAAAGACCCCGGGAGGATTCTGAGAAGGCTCCGGATGCAAAGAAACCCCGGCGTGGCTTTCGAGTCGGCCCTGACAACCTCCCAGATGGACCCTGGCGTAGAAAAGGTCGGTCTAAATCTTTTCTCATTCATGCTCTCATCTACGCTCACATGTGGATTTTTTGTTTCATCAATCTAACATACTCCTACAGTTACCAAAATCAAGAAGGGCCTTATTGTCAAGGCCAAGCTGAAAAAGAACTACGCCAAGATTAAGGCGAGAGAGGGAAAGGAGCATCAACCTTCAGCTGAAGACAATGATCATGACAGCAACGGCAACGAGGAATCGGAGAAGCCGTCAGGGGGCGATGAGCCAGAACAGCTTCACCCCACACGCCAGCTCATGCTGAAAGACGAGGACATGGCACAGGCAGGCGCCGACCCCGAGAAGCAGCATGATGTCAGCGATGGGCAACGCCGCAGGACTCGGCGACCAGGTTACTATGACAAGCAGCTCAAGAAAGCAGATGAGCGGCGCATCGAGAGTGAGGCTCGGGCACAGGAGTTTCAGCGGCGCAGGGAGGAGCGTGAGAAGAAGATTGCCGAGAGGGAACGTTACAAGAGAGCAATGGCAAAGACAATCGGCAAGGACGGGAAGAAGAAGCTCGGGAGGGAGAGCAGTCTGCTGCTGGACAAGGTTAAGAAAATGGTTGCCGACCAGTAGGAAGTGAGCGATACGCGCCGGATGCCGAGGAGGGCGGACGCTATACCCATGGTATTTTTTTTTTTTTTTTTTTCAGAACAACGCATAATATTTCACGGAACCATTGATTTCTACCGCCTGCTCTGGCACTATTCACATAGGTTGGCGAATGACTGGATATGTCTGTAGGTGGGCCGCTGTCGTGTGACAAACTATCGGTAGCTGGGGCACGGCACGTTTCTCCTAAGGCAATAGCTTCGCGGCCGAGAAGGAAAAAATCACGATGTGCTGAAGGGGGTGTGTGACAGGGGGCGGGTACTGAAGAAGAAATGGCAATCAAAAGTGATCAACCGTTTCGGAAGATCGCCTGTATTGTCTCAGACGACGTGTTTGGAGTTGATGGGTTCCAGGTGGTCGGTGGGTAATGCTGATCTTGGTATGTGCCGGATCTCGACAACACTCACCATGAAGAAGCTCCTGTTCTTAGACGGTGTAGAAGTCATGGCCAATTGGGAGTACGTTAGTAGTCATTTGTCCAAGCCGAGTATACGACAAAGAAATCCCAAGGATGGGGAGTTTTCTCCATCGCAAGCCTGAAATCAATAGAGCCATTAGCATTGATACTGGGACGCATACATTCAAATCGAGACAACGTGTCGTTCGTCAACCTGGATCTGGCATTCTAGTATTCCGGGCCTCCTCCACATCCCATATCCACCGACCCATTCTGCGCTGGGATTAGGAACGCGGGACGATGACACATTTGACAGGATAGTGATGAGGCGGGCGCTTACACAGTGAAACAGCAGGCCCTCTTTCTCGGATGCAGACCTACCTCATCCCGCCACCTTGTATCTGTGCTGTGTGCTTGTTCATATCAAATGTACCTACATGCTGCAGATGAGACAGGCGGGCGGAAATTAAAGACCTTGACGGCCTTCAGCTTCTTGGTCAGCGGTAATAAATGGCGGTGCGGATGGATCAAGTCCAATGTAGCAGCCCAGATGTGATACGCACATCCAAAGAGGAGCGCCCTACTAGTGGCGTTTCATGCGGTTTCAACCACGGTTTTCAGGGACCGGGCCCCCAATGGCACCTGGGGGAAACTTGGTTCGAAACCGAATAACAATGGCGAGAGCCACGCACAATTTGGCCTGTGACTGGTGGCCGCGCGAAGCCCAAGCAATGCGAATGGAGCTAGCGTGCGCACGCTGCAGGCGTGAGCTGAGAAGAGGCCATCTGAAACATGCGAATGCTTAAGTTCTGTGCCTGCCGATTTATTGCTCGAAACGATGTGCTATTGCTGGGCAAATGAGTGACCTCCTGGTACCCAAGGGGTTTGTCTGTCCCTTACTGCGCTTCATGTCACTCCTCTTTTTTGACAATGCCTTGTGCTACATTAGCCAAGTACCCTCGCCGATGGGAGAAGGAAGGAAGACAAACAAGGTAGAATAAGACATCTGAGGGTTCAGCTGGCTGTGGGTCGTTCTCAGGCTTGGTGGAGGCAGAGTCGACTTGATTCTGGGGCGCAAGACCCGACGGTCTGTCAATAATCCCCCGTTGGTCATGAATACGACGTTCATTTCGATTCACCAGAGCTGTGAGTCTTACAAGTTGTTGCGCCACGAAATGGGTGGTGTGGATTGAGGCTATTGGCCTGGTTTGGGAGATGGATCGGTAAGGATGGTGGCGTGACCCCTGGCAGGGCACCACACCAGGGCACCACACCAGGGCACCACACCAGGGCAGGGCATGCTGAGCCACTGAATAGATGAAACGGGTCAGTCAGAGTAGAGAATGTTGGTCCAAAGCAGCCAATATCCACACGAGTAATCAATGCCGAGTGATTGGTATCTGGCTTAGAGATCTCATCCTAATGAAGCAGCAACGCACCTGACAGAGTTGGCTTTTCTCGCGTGCACAAAGGGGGAAGGCGTATGTCCGTAATCAGCTGAGCTGAGAGTAAGTGTTGTCATCCAGCCTTGCCTAGCAATGCGAGAAGGGAAGCCGAGCATACCCGGAGAACGAGTAGAACGAGCCTCACCGTATGTGCAAGAGGACAATCATGGAAACCACCCATTCGCTTAGACGCCAACCGATTATGCGCACCGTGGTCTGCTGCTTGCTAGTTGAATGTGGTTGGCGCATAATACTACTACACAATATTTGACATCCACGTTAGGTACATGTGTGTATATACGCACAGACACACACAGAGAGGAAACCGCATACAAGTGATACCCCAGCTCACGGCTGATGGTAGAAGATCTCTGTCAACGGCGACCTCGAGTTGAAGGTAGCTGGGTTTGGGTGGTCCGTGTGGTGGGCCCATATTACACTCATTCCCCGATAGACACAGCTGGTTGGTCTCGGGGGTCAGAGGTGGGTGGGTAACGAACGACACGTCTCTATGCTCATGTTCTTCAGCAAAGACTAGAACCGAAGCCACGACACCATCTGGAGTTGCGTTCTGTCTCATCACAGTCCGCGCTCAAAAGCCAGTGAATTGGCGGAGCTGCCCCTACTATGCAGGAAGCGCTTCTGACATGACATCAGCCGAGTTGACATGAAAGGAGCTGTAATACAACTTACTGCTTTACTATGAATATACACTATGGGGGCTGTTTCCATCAGCTTCAAGCCCTCCATTAGTCGACACGAGTCGGGGCTTATAATTAGTGCTGTGATGAGTGTAATCACAGTTGTTTTCCTCCCCAGCGCTGCCAACCATGCCTGGATAGGTAGTTGGCACTCCCTACACAGCAGTAATTGCGAATTATACCATGGAACAAACCAAAAGTTGCCTCCCAATCGCCGCCGTCGACAGTTGCAGCGAAGGAAGGATTGATACCTAGCCCACGCCCGGAAGCACGCCCAGGGCTCGAGAAGGGCTGGGCCGGGCAGGGGTTAAGAAACTGTCCAGCAGGGCGATTACAGGCCTTCTCGGCGAGGTACTGGCAGGTACCTGTTTAAGGACAGGTTGCCTACCCCACCAGGACCCCAGCTCCAAACCAGACCCCATCGAGAGTCCTCACACAAGAGAAGCCCACTAAAACACTCTTCGAACAGTGGAGAGAGCCCCTGAGCGACATCATTACGAGGAGCTAAGGGAGCACCTAATATCAATGATTAGCCTAGGTCTTGCTGATGAAGAACTCCTTTGGGCGTCACGCTTTGGTGAAGATTGATCGGGTTTACATCATCACCCTCCGCGCCCTAAGGTTGACGACACTGAATCAATCTTGCTGGAGTCTAGCTCCCTAAAGCCTAGAGGCACCAGCAATGGCAGCAATGGATTGATATCAAGTTTGCCTTCTTCGTAGCCGCTAGCTCTAGGAGGGTTGGAGATTGGTCCCTACCTAGCTTGATTAGTTGGCCTGAGCTATATCCATTGCTTCCGTGCTGTATCAAAGGTGATGGAGCCATGAGCCGCATCATCTTCCCACGAGCGTTGGGGTGCTTTTCTCATCAATTGAAAGAATTGTGATAACACGTGCTGACCACCCTGGCATCAGCTTCAAGTCTGTTTTCCTCAACGGGGCAGCTGCTTGTAGAGGAAGTCCCCCGACAAACATGGTCATGATACGACTCGTAGAATTAGCAGCTCCATAGTTCGATAGACACAGCAAACGCCTGTGGGTTGAGAGACGAGGTAGGCCATCTGGGGTTGTTGGCCCTGCAGACGGAATGCGCCGAGTCTGGCTTGAATCCATTCGGTCAAGATACAGCCAGACATGCATCGCGAAGTGTACATACGTAACATGCGTGCGTGGAGAGGCAGGATAATCTTGCTCTTCCCGCCACGAAACAGCGAGATGATGGCTGAACCGTTGTGCAACATTGGTGGCAGGCTGCTAAGATTACAGTCTCCCTGCCTAGCTTCTGACCCAGGTGTTTCTGAGTGCAGCTGGGCCAGAGGCGGCCGGCAATGGATGGATCTTGATGCGGAGTCGGGGATTATTTGCCCTTGGCCCTACTACTGCAGAAGCCTACAGGGCAGGCGAGATGGATTGAGTTGCTGTCGAATAGTCCGTGACCAGAACAGCATCTGGCGGCCATGGATGCTTCTTTTGTTCCTTCCTGGGCGTGCCTCCGTCGGAAGCCTGGACCTTCCTTCCTAGCAGCCAACTCAATCCAAGCCACCCATCTCGCCGGTTGCCATGTGTGGAAGTACCTGTTCTGTAGTGGCATCCAGCAGCGGTTCATGGAGGGGCGGTGGCCCATGATCTGTGGCTGGCCTGGTGCATTATTAGCACGGCGTAGACACCTGGTAAAATGGGCGCCACTAGCGACTATGCTAGCCTGGGTAAGACCGCTGTCGATGGTGCGGACCCAGTCAAGCCAGGTACACATCTGTACAAGCTGCTTGTACTCCAGGTACCTCCACCCGCTGCCCGCTCTCCAGACTGGCACTGGACAGCCCCCTGGCGGAATGCGTCTGGCACATTTTAGCCTGGCCCCTCGACCAGGCGGTGCCAATCCCCGTCCCGCTCCAGCAGCTTGGCCAACACCGTCCCGGCCTCTCAACACCCAATCATCCGCTCATTGGATGTGTGATTCGCAGCTGGATTGTGTGGGAGTGCCCTGACTCTTTTTTTTTATCATCTCTTAATCGTTTTTTGGTGGTTCTTGCGGCAAAGCAACTCGACTGGCTTACTCAAGTCCCAATCTTGTGTATTTCATGACATGTGCTTCGTTTCTTCCTTGATGCTTCCATCCGAACCTCATCCCTCCTCGCCCGCTCGTGCCCTCCACGCCTGAGGATCACGTCGTCGGCAGTCTGCGTCTTCGCCTCGCTCAACCCTACCATCGTGCTCTCCGCCCCCGTCGCTCGCTTATCCCCCGGTCTGGCAGCCCGTCTGGATTGAAACACTATCGATGGTCCCGATTCTTCGCCGCTGTACATTTCCCCTGCCAACGCATACCTAGCCACTCCAACCGACGGGCACTCTATCTCGACTGCGCGAGAGCGTCTCTTCCAACCTTCCCACGTTCCCTCTCCATCTTCGCTGCTATAGGAGACCCTACGTCGCACTTTCATACCAACAGGCCGGCATCGCTGAGCGACGCCACGGTTGCCCGCCATGGCCGCCATCATTGACGAGTATCTCGACACCACCATGGAGCAGGAAGATGTGTTTCCATGTAAAGGTTGCGGAGAGGTAAGCCGTTTCAATGCATTAATCTACACTCGGTCCTGAAATCTGGATTACCTTCATACAAGAGTTGGCGAAAGTGGGGGTTGTTACTTGCGGGACTGGACATAGACTGACTTCCATGGCAGATTCTCGAGGAAGGCAAAGCATACGAGCTTGGTAAGTAGTCACTGTTCCCTAGCCTAGTCTTGGTCATTCCCGCCACGGAGCCCTCTCACACCTCCCCGAGTTACTTTCTCATACAAGAGAGCCAGAGCATGATCCTCAAAACTCTTGGGAATCTGCCTCACAGGCCTCGTTTGGTGTCGCGAGCCCCGCGCATGTCAACCGCTCCCAGTTGCGGACTGGTGTGTTCCTTTGTCGCTTGAGCATATGCTGATCGTCCCCATTCACAGCCGGTAACCGATGGCATCTCGACTGTTTCCGCTGTAACACCTGCCACACGCTCCTCGACTCCGACGCAAACTTGCTCCTCCTCGGCGATGGCTCGCTCATTTGCAGCAACTGCACATACAGTTGCAGCGCCTGTGGCAACAAGATTGAGGATCTGGCCATTCTCACTGGTGACCAGGCTTTCTGTTCCACTTGCTTCCGCTGCCGCAACTGCAAACGCAAGATTGAAAATCTGAGATACGCAAGGACATCGCTGGGAATCTTTTGCATGGGCTGCCACGAAACTATCATTGCTAAGAAGCGGAAGAAATCGAAGGCTGCGGCATCCGCCAAGAGCAGGGAGAAGGAATCTCCCATGATCACCGAGAAGTCGCTCCCAGCGCTTCCCCCCAACGAGATCCCCAAAGGCGCTTTCTCCAATGACAAGGTCGATCCTGATTCCGATACACCAACGGAAATTTCGCCTAGACCGCGCCAAGGCCATCGATCTACTACGTCCGCTTCCCGAGATAGCTCCCGGCCCGCCAGATCTCCCGAGCGTTCGGGGAAGACAGATGGTTTGGGCCTTTCTGGGAATACCTATCGAAGCAACAGGAGCTCTACGTTGACGGGCAGCGATTCAACGGAGAAAGATGATGGGTTCTTCATCCCCGTGGCTCTAGATCCTAGTCCGGCACCAACTCCAAATTCGATCAATAACGATAGTACAAAGAGGAAGGATTATTTTAATCTCCCCAAGTCGTCCTTTGCAGACAAGCGGAATGACTCCCCATCCTCGACACCCCACATCGCCTTTCAGAACAAGGGCAGACAGCAGTCTACAGATCGTGACTTGACATCAGCTCAAACCCCGACATCGAAGCTTTCCCAACCCTCGACGTCGAGGTCAGACCAACAATCGTCTCCTCCGAGTGAAGATAGACAGCAGAGAGCCGCCCTACGAAATCAAACCAACTCTGATGATAGCAAAGGCCAGACGCCCAAAGGCAGGAAAGCGGCTACTTCTTCCAGCAGCAGTTCTTCATCAATTCATGACGGTGGCGTGGATGTGAAAGCCAATCACTCTACCTCACAATCGGAAGTACGCAAGAATGGGGAAGCCGGCTTTCCGCCTTCACGATTCTCCCAAGATACGAGAAAGCCAGAGGCGGACGACAGGAGAGGGTCAGGAGACTCGAACCCGAAATCCGGCAGTCGGCCTGATACTGGGAAACCAGTCACTCGTAAAGATAGCTCCCCTCCCTCGGCTAGGAATAGTAAGTTGAATCTTTTTTTCCATTCCTGGACTTTGTTCTTTTTTTACTGACTTGGATGGTACAGCTGCACCAACTACAAAGGCTGGCCCGCAACGTAGAGAGTCAGGAAATGAGGATGTCCCTCCTCCAAGAGTCCCCCCTCCACGGCTTAAAGCTGCCGACCAAAGCAGTTCCCGAACCGACTATGCCAGCCCACGGGGTCCACCGCCTTCGTTGGCTGGGAAGCCTGGTGCAGGCTCGAAAGATGAACAGGGATCGCCTAAACCGTCTCCAAAGCTTCCTAGATGGAGTAACGGCGGCGATTTCACGATGGACGAGGATATGGCCAGAATACTCGGAACCGATGAACCTTCCTCCAACATTCTGCGTCGGGCGTCCAATGTCGCCAGACACGGCCGTACCAACAGTATTGACTCGAACCAAACACCAACTCGAGGAACTCACACTCGGAGCATCAGCGAAACAACCCGGGGTACCGCCTCGCCCCAATGGCCCAAAGCTCCTCTTCATGAGGAACGAGGCTGGGCATCACCCGATTTGATGAGCCCGGTGTCGGTCTCGTCGCCCGATGATACCACCATTTTGAGACGTCAATTGCGGACATCCGAGCAACGCGTGGCCGAACTTGAGAAGCAGTTCAACACAGAAAAGGATCTTCAAAATCTTGACAGGAAATTACTTGAGAAGAGGAAGACAGTTTCCGTTCTAGACACTCAAACTGAGATCATGATTCGACAGCTCGAGGTGCTCGCCGGCTACGTTGAACGGGCAAAGGATTCCAAAAAACCGATCGATCCTCGTGAATTAGAAGATTCAGCTATCAAGGACTTTGTCCAGAAGCTTGAGGAAGTCAAGATGGTCCTGGCAGAAAGCATCGAGCAACTCCACGAGGAGCGAGATCGTTTGGTGGAAGAAAGAGATCAAGCGTCAGCTGACAGGGACCATGCTCTCATGGAATTTGAACAGCTTTCTTCGAAGAACGCCCAGTTGGCTGAGATGAACAATGATATGACGCACCAGCTGCAAGAAAAGTTCAGAAGCCAGGTGGCTGATGGCAAGTCAAGCAATGGCCTGGGCATCTACGGCGAGAACAAGGCAGCAACCGCATCCTCGATCAATCTTGACAATGCCAGCATGACGACTGGACACACTCTGGTTGGTGATGACGATCAGATTGTGGAGAACGGCCCTATAGCGGTACCAATCCGTAAGGGCCAGGTTAAGAAGTTCAACTGGAAGAAAGGCTCCAAGGGATTGGCCCAGAACGTCGCCAAGGGTGTTAGAGGTGCTGTGGTTGCATTCCAAAACGACCGCGGTGAGCGTATTCAACAAGTTGGGCCCGGGGCCATGGGTCCAGGGGACATTGGTATTCCCTACAACAATACTATGGTTCCTCCAGAGCCATCAACTACGCCTGCGCCAATGATGCCGCAGCAAGGCAGGCAACCGAAGCATCCCCAACAAGGATTCGGTTTCTTCAGCAAGAAGGCATCCGCTGTTCCAAAGTCAGCCTCTGCCAACAGCGTGCCAGCGGCCGTTACCCCCGAGGCTCCTTCGACGCTTTTTGGTTCCGATTTGTCTGAGCGAGCTGATTGGGAGCGTCGTCAGATACCCAGCGTGGTGACTCGCTGCATCGAAGAGGTTGAGCTCAGGGGTGTGGACCAAGAGGGCATCTATCGAAAGACGGGAGGCAACTCCCAAGTCAACATGATCAAGGATGGGTTCGAGAGGAGCGAGAACTTTGATATTTCAGATCCAGATTGGGATATCACAGCCGTCACCAGTGTTTTGAAACAATACTTCAGGAAGTTGCCAATCCCGCTTCTCACTTTTGAAGTATATGACAGAATTCTGGAATCAACTTGTACGTACACATCCACGCTTCAGAATTTTGTCTTCTAAACTAATGTCTCCTAGCAATTGTTGACCCATCAGAGCGTTGCGAACACTTGCGCCGGACTATTGCTTCCATGCCTGAAAAGCACCGTGACTGTCTTGAGTTCCTCATGTTCCATCTTGATCGTGTTGCTCAACGCCAGTCTGAAAACTTGGTAAGCCTATGACTCCATAACCTCAATATTCACTTTCACACCGCTAACTCGTCAAACCAGATGACTCCCAAGAACTTGGCTGTTGTCTTTGCTCCCACCATCATGTTCGATCGCAGTATCGAGAGAGAGATGACAGACATGCACTCCAAGAACCTCGCAGTGCAGTTCATCATTGAGAATAGCCGCAACATCTTTGTTGATTAGTTGCTGTGTCAGCTGCTTCTGGATATTCCAACCCCGTCACATAAAGCACGCTCCTAGAGTGAAAGAAACTGCAGGAAATCAGTGCCGACTTTCGCAGAACGCCAACATTCAACTGGTGGTCGGAGAGTCCGCCCCTCATTTGCTTCGCGTCCTGCGGGCTAAACATCATGCCCCCGCTGTCTCATTGTGTCTTTGCAGAACAAGAGCGATGACTTTGGAGATTATATTGGGCCCTCCGATGAGTCTGGCAGGGTCCCTTTATCTTCATGTGAATGAGTTTTTCAACTGCTGAAATGAATAAAGCCGGGGCTTGAAATGGCCCAAGTGTATCATATCTGCTGCTTGGCCAGTTCACGTCGGCTCCTGATCCGATTGCTTTCTACCCCTTGTTCATCTTTCACATCATTTTGTTAGCCTCCTTTTATATCCATAACCCCTCCCACCTTATATACCATCTCATGGCTTTGGAGTTTGAATTGGTTGCGTTGATTAAAAGGGTGGGAACCTGTTTGCCCTCCTGGAAAGGCGGAAATGGTGGTATTTTTTATTTTCTACGTTGACGATAGCTACTGTTTGAATTCACCTTGCTTCTTGTTGTTCTGGTCTTTCTCAATGCGTCTTGTCTATATGCAATGTAGTATACTGCGGATATAGGATGGCGACATGTTTTGGGACGGTCTTGTTGTTTGAGAAGGTTTATGCTTATGATGGGATGTGGACGTGTAATGCAATATCATAAATTGACTGATCTCCCCGAGAAGTGAACCCTCGCGCGATTCTGCCTGCCCTGTCAAGTAACTTGAATTGTCCCTCCAAGGCTTTGGATATACCATCGTCTTCGGCTCCGTTGGAAAGAATTACAGGATAGAATATTATTGCAATGTGATAAATATATCATACATTCAAGCCACTCGAACCACTAAGCTAAGCTACAGTATACAATCAACTCATCCCAGCGCCGTATTATATATATACTGTTCTTTTACCATGTCCATCCATAAACCAATCAATGCCCAGTGCCGAAAAATATAAAACGCCAATGCTTTGCCCTGCCCTTTTTTGTCTTTTCCCACAAACCACGAAGACGCAACCCTAAACAAGGGAAACGCCGCCATTCTCGCGCTGCCTCTTAATAATGTAGTACGTGATCAGGCTCTTTGGATCCTCCTTGATGTCCTTGAGGGAATCCCAGAATCGCCCCTCGCCCGCGGACGCATGCAGAGCGACGCAGAGCTGGACGGCGTCCATGCGGACGCCAGAGTCGGTCGACTCCAGGCATCTACTGGTGAGCTCCACCAGCAGCGCCAGCTCCGAGTCGGAGAGAACGACCTCCTCCTGCTTCTCCAGCATGGCCTTCAGAACGTGGAGGCCTGTGCTGAGAGCGCGGCAGCCCTCGGGGGTGCTGTCGTCCCAACCTTGCAGTTTCCTGCCGAGGACGACGACGATCTCGGGGGGGTCACCGAGGGCGACGAGCTCGTCGGCCAGTAGCTCCAAGCCGCTGATGATGTGGGCGCGTCCCTCGTACCTGCTTCGAGTCTCGAGGAGGGACTCGAGGCATTTGGATACGTGGGGCTTGAAATTGTCCCGCTCTCTCTTAAGGAGGAGTTTGATGGTGGTGAGAACCTGTGCTTTGACGTCCTGCGCCTTGTCTGACGGCATCGTTGACAGAGGGTCCTCGAGGAACTGGAAGAGGCCGAGCAACAAGGCTTGGAACTTGTCGTCCGTGAAGACCGTCTTGCTGTCGCGTAGAAGGCTCTGCAACTTACGGAAGCCGTGGACCTCGAGCGACTTGAGTTTGATCTTGGAGATTCCGCTATCCAGGAGGCGTGCGTTTTTGTTGGCCTTGTCTAGTGTGTCGGCATCATCGGCTTCTTTAGCCTGACCGTTGGGATGAGGTAGATTCGCGGCATCCTCGTTCACAGGCTTGTCCTCGAGAACTGAGCCAGTGAATACCGGTTTCGGCTCTTGTTGGTTATCGACAAAGGGATCTTCGTAGACCTTCACTGGCTGGGGGGTCTCATCTGACGGGGACTGAATCTGAACAGGCACCTCAACGGGAGTTTCAGGGAGTACTTCCACGTGTGGTTTTACGAGCTCCTCTTCGAGTTTGTTGGCTTGTTGTGCGGTGGTTGCCTGTGGGGTGGGGATTTGAGGAACAACGAGCGTCAGGTCCTCGTTCAGTTTCGCGGCAGGGCTGCTTGACAAGAGTGCTGACTGCGTGTTCTTAAGCCGAGTCGGACTCACTCTATTCGAAGCTACAGATCTTGGTCGTGCAACAGGGGAGGTTATACTCGACTCGCTGGCGTGCGAGGCGTGCCCAGGCCGGGTCCTTTGGGCTGTCCTTCTAGGCGTCGTCTCCTTAGGTTTCGGTGCCAGCTTAGCCTTGAGGGTCCTAGGGCTCTCGGCTTCGATGTGCTCGCCACGATCTCGAACCGAATAAGGACCAGCCGTCGCAGGTCGAGGAGCAACTTCGGGTCGCTTCCTTGTTGGGCGCATGGGAGCGACTGACATCGAACTAGCATTAACAGAGACCGTTCCAGCTTCAGGGCGTGCCCTACTCCCTGAAGGCTTCGATGAAGAAGCGCCACTTGGTGGCTTGGGGTCTGACACTTTCCGTACAGGCGAAATATGGGCCATGGCAGACCCTGGTCGGGCAGGCAAGCCCTTGGCTGCAAGTGTCGCCTTCTTCTGTGCCATCATCGTTTCCCGGAGACTTGGTTTGCTGGCGGTCATAGTGCTCCTGGATAACCCCAGTCCTGGTCGAGGGGGCGCCTCTTCCTTCTTAGGGGCGTTAGGATTGCTAGGGTCCTTGTTCAGAAGCTTTTGGGCTGTTGCGTCTAGATCTTCCATAATTCTGTCGGGGGTTAGATATTGTTCATTTGACTTTAAAAAAAAAAAAAAAAAAAAAGGATCCAGGAGAAGAGACTTACGCATCGGCTCGCTGAGGCCAAATGCCCCAAAATGCCCAAAACACTGACCGCGTCTTCTCCCTGACCGCAGGGTTTGGATCGCCGAGTCCCTTCTTGATACATTTCTCAATAAGGTCAACTCCGCCTGTGTGCTCAACATGGCTCTTGTGGTTGGCTTCCTTCTTCAACATGGTCTTTAGCCAGCCGGTCGCATATGTGCGAGGAGCCACGTTCTTGTCCTGAAAGGCGATCCAGATATGCTGCATCAGCCTCTGGCTATAGGTCACATTGCTCAGAATGGTGTCGACAGTTGTGTTTGCCAGTTGGGAGCTGATCTTCTTGGTTCCGGCGGACAGCTTGACAAACGTTTGCATGAGAAGCTCTACCATTGGGTCCATGGCAGGACCAAAAGCAACAGCAATATCCTGAACCAGCCCGCAACCCTCCTTTGATAGACTGGTTCTCAACGACGTTACAGCTTTGATTATGCCGTCAAGCATTCCACGGAGGCCTGCAAGAAAGGTATCGGGGAAGTCGGAAGTCGCATTGCCAGCGTTGAGTCGTCGCAATGTGACCATACTCTCTTCTCTCTTGATCCAGTTCTGTTCCGACTCCCTGCCCTCAAAGAACCACGCCATTCCCTTAAAGATATCGTCGAGTTCGCGATTCGTGTTGACGTATTGGGGTTCAATGTTCTCGGCCCTGGTATCGACGGCGGGAGTGATTGGTCGTTCGCTTGACATGGATGATACGCTCGCGGCTAATGCAGGTCGAGCGGCGGGCGCAGCATTGGCGGGAGTCTCTGGACGGGCGCCAGTTGGGGCCAGCTCCTTAACAATAGCTTGCTCGATCGCAGGTCTGACTTTGAAGTTTTTCAGTTGTCGCTTCAGATCAGACTTTGCTGTGTTTGGTGCATTCCTATCCAGTCCCGTATCAGCCTTATCCATCCTCAGAATGTGATATTGCATAAAAGGGGCCATCTCACCTGAAAAGTTCAATGACGGTGCTCTTGGCAACATCTCGAACCATGCCATCGGCATCTTCCAGTAAATCCATAAGCAAGGGAACGTAGCTACGGAACTGGAGACCTTGCTCCTTGTGTGTCTTGTCGAAAGTCAGGACCAGAGTCACATGTCGATTCGCTTCAGGGGATGGCACATACCTGCAGCAGCCACTGCATGGCTGCTTCCTTTGCGCGGGGATTCTTGCCCGTCATGGCAGAGTTGCGGATGAAGCGCTCAACATCCCCGGGGTGAACGCTATACAGTGTGTTGAGCGCCTGCATTGCGGTGGCCCGGTACTTGTCCTTCTGGTCGCCCAGCTTCTCGATGATCAGGGGTAGAGTGCGAGCAGCCTCCTTGTTCAGAAGCTTGGGCTCCTGGCGGGACAGCCTGGTCAGGAGGTGGTTGAGGGCAGTGAAACCGACATTGACGATCGCATTATGCTGGGAGCTGGCGGCGGCGCGAAGTCCGTCGAAGAGCTGGGGGACGCAGGTTTCAGGGACATTGTGCTGCTTGATGCCCGACTTGATGTTGGTCACAAACTGGACCTTTTTGTCGAGGATTATGTCGCTATGGAGGATAGTTAGCAGCTCTGCGGCCTGCTCCTCGGTCACTTTGTTGTCGGCCATCGACGTCTAGATATCATCCCGCGTTAGCAACAAGCTCAAGAGCACAATGGTCGCAATGCGAACCCCGCAATCGATCAAGGAATGAACAGATCGACATGACAAGTGCGATGCGGACGGGACAGGTGAGGGACCAATGACTCAGGAGAAGAGGGGAGAAAAAGTAAGGAAAATAGGAGTTGGGCTCCCCTAATCAGTCGCGGGGGGGCGCGCAAGAGGTGTTTGGCAGCAACATACAGATTTCAGTGAGAGCGCGATCGATTTCAAGACAAATTCAGGAGCCTAGGCAAAGAAAACGAAGCGGTTCCTGTAGCAAGTATATCATTTGGGGGGTAAAGCGATAGCTTGTTGCGCGCTGCCAAAAAAGACAAAAACAAGAAAATCGAACACAATTCGGCTATTCTGTGCAGGAGAATGATGCTGGAAATTGGACAAGCGACTGAGGTAATGCAATGGAGTGACGCGCGAAAACAATCAACAGGCCGCAACGGGCTTGGCTGGGCAGATGGAGCCCCGGGGAGCGAGTTGATCCCCTCTAGGTTGCCATAGTGAGCCACGGTGCTGCGGGGCCTGCGGAAACAAAGCCCGCCCACAGAGGGGTCCAGCAGGCCCAGCACTGGCCTGAGCGCCTAGCTTAGCCTGCTAGGCCCGGCAAGGCCCCCAGCGCCAGCGAGGGGTGTTGTATTCATCTATTGGGCACAATCTGGAATTGCCTTCAGGTGGTGTTAATTAAAAGCTATCCCAATGGAGCACCTGGTGATCTTTCCCGGAAACTCATCATCCATCGAGGCCACGGGAGCAGACCTCGCCCACGAGATTTCCAAGTCAAGGCGCATGAAGCATGAAGTCCCGTTATCTCCATATTACCAGGCACCCAGACTCAGACTCTTTGAGGGGGAGAGGGGTAAGCCACGAGCGGCACCGTGGACCCCTTGAATCGGAGCGGGGCAAGTTGACACGGACTCCAAGCGCTTCACCTCTGCGACAGAACTCAAACAGCGCTGCCATTATTCATGTAGTGCAGCTGTTTTGATCCTAGGGCTCAATCGCCGCCGCCCTTAATCTAGATCACCCCAATGAGAGGTGTCGAACAGATTTTACGAGCAGGATAGTACAGCACTATAACTTGAAGTTGGGGGCGAGGTCGGAAACGAAATAGTCGTGATATTAAAGATAAACAACACAAGAGCTCTATACATGATCGATGAATTAACCCGGCATGCTTGTATGCAACATATTAACAACAATTTATTGAGTAATCCGCTACAGTTTGCCGACGTCAATCGAGAGATGGGCGACTTCCCTGTCCCGGGTAGCTTGACCGATCTCCCCATGTCGCTATCCTGACCAGTGTTGTTTAATTTGGAGAGATAAATGTCGATTCTCTATCTTTTCTGTCTCGTAAGAGTTGTCCCATGAAAAGTGGCGCATCACTAAGGAGATTCTCATACGGGTTGAGTCTATATGTGTGTCATCAATAAGAAGCAAGCCAATGTAGTAAGAGAAATTTAAAGTAGGCAATATCTGAAGGGATGAGGGAGTGATTGCCATAAGAGAAGACGAAATATACAACTTAACTTAACGGATGCTTGGCCAACGCTGAGGCTGTCTGTCGACGAGTTCCTACTAGGACTTGGCTATAAAAAGTCGTGGACGAAGAACACGACGAATTTGCAAGCAAATTGGTGCTTTACAATATTCACATGCTGGGACTTTGAATAATGTCATGTATGAAAGACAGACGTTGAAATCAGCCTCCATAATACCAACAACAACCCCCTACAGTATTGTTGTATTGTCAAGGCTTGTTGTGTGAACTATTTAGCCCAATAGTCATGGAGGCTCTCAGCATTAAGCTTTCCCCCCTGCAAACTTACCGTGGAAAATGTGAATTTGATTTTTTTCTTTTTGCTTGGTAGAAACGCAAATAAAGTGACCAAGAATAAAAAAGACAATGGTAAGTCAAAATTGTTTCAATCCTGCGTCATTGCATGGCTACTCTAATACCGCTTTGTCCTACTCCTCTGCTTATTGTTTTGGTTTAATTCCGGCCTTTTGATTGCCATCCGATGACACTCGCACTGATTTATGGATGGCTGCAAGAGCTCTTGCGCAATATCACAAGACATGTTGCTTGGTCGAGGCCTCCTCAGCCCCAGTCGCTCCTTTTGGAGCTGCCCGCCGACGTGGTCGCTCTGATCGTCACGTTTCTCTCTCCATCAGATGAATTATCTGCAGCACTCGTGTGCAAGCCACTACACTCCATATGCAAGAGAAATCTGCATACACTCACTAAACATGTATGCAAGAAGGACAGGGAGGACTTCCTCCTCCGCATGGAACGAGACCTCATGGCGACGCACATCTACTGCGCCGTTTGCATGAGATTGCACAGGATTTCTTCTCTCAACAAGCCCAACGAGCCTCCTCCTTTCAGCGGCGCTCCAATCTGTCTGGGGATCGACTATAAAAACTCTCCAACATTTTCGGAAAACCACTTTGCATATCATCATGGGCGAGCAGCCATGAACCGCCATTTCTACGGGGCCCCGGCCGGCCTCGACCCTGAGTCTTTGCGTTATAGGACCTTATACACAGATAGAAATCTGTTATTAGGGTACTACGTATGGTTTGGTCGATATTCCGTGAAGATCATATCCGACAACCTTTTCCTCTTCGGCGAGAATGTGATGGAATCGGGAGACGAGCGGAGCATGACGAGGAAACTTAACGCTGGATCCTACGACATTTGCCCACACACGACGACTTCAACCATGTCGAATCGCTTGTTTTGCTCCACAAGAGCGGTCGGCTTGAGCGAGGGTGACATCTGCAGGTTCTTGCAGGAGCCGGGGCGAGTGGTTCACGGGTCGTGCGCCAGGTGCTTGACAGACTACACCGTGAAGATTTCTCGACGCAGTCGCAGTCCTGGACCTGTGGTGTCTTACCGCGTTAAAATAAAGACGTGGACCGACTTTGGCCAGTTTCGGAGCCCGCAGGACTGGAAATGGAGGGCTTGGAGGCGCAAGGCTGGAGAATACTACTCGGTGGCGCCCCGGAATTTTAAAAAGTACCCTCCTAGAAGTGTATTTCAGCGATGCCATGCAGCTGAGGAGCAGAAGGAGAGCGAGAATTTTGAGGCATCCGCCTAGAACTTACCCCCATTTCGTGTTGCCGGTTGTGGGACTCTTCATATGAGGCTCCCGCTGTCTTTTCCACTGACAATGTTCCCTTGAATCAGTGTTGGACCCGTCACAAGGAGAATTATTTTAACAACTCTATTCGTTATTACACAACAATAAATTTCTACTAGCCTGTAAACAAATATTAGGCTTATGTGTGAGGTGAGAGAAGTGAAAAGATGACGAAGTGAAGGCAGCTGTGAGGAAGCATTTTACATGCTAAAATATAGCCACCTTGACTCAGTTGGGCTAAAAAAAGATTATTGAATGCTTGCCCCGAAATGTCAGGCTACCTTATGATCGGGTCTTGTTAGACAGAACATAAACTGCCATCTCCTTCTCACCCACCACGCACCCGGCAGGAGTTGCGCAGAACCGGGAGAAAACCCATCCTGAACAACGTGGTCAGCCCAAGTCACCTTCATCCCAACCCACCAACTTTCTCCCCCGCCAGTCACCATGTCCCCAATCCCAAAGCAAGCCGGCGACGGCAGCGGCTTCGCGGTCCCCAAGATCCGCCTCGAGATCCGCAACCTCTCAGACGCCGGGGCCTCCTCCTTCCTCCGCGCCGTCCACGCCACCGACCTCCTCACGTCCGCCACCCGCAACGTCCTCCGCTGGCTCTACGCAACCCCCTCATCCCCCACCACCACGGTGCCCCCCACGCGCTCCGTCACCCTCATCCTCAGGGACATGGACGGCGTCGCCTACACCACGGGGTCCGACCTCGACAACGACCACAAGGAGGTCCACTTCTCCACCAAGTACATCGCCGCCATAGGGCCTGACCGCGTCGCCCACGAGATCACGGGCGTGGTCACCCACGAACTCGTCCACTGCTTCCAGTACGACGCCTTCGGCACCTGCCCGGGCGGTCTGATCGAGGGCGTCGCCGACTGGGTCCGCCTGAACTGCGGGCTGTCGCCGCCGCACTGGAAGCGCGAGGCCGGTGGGAAGTGGGACGGCGGGTACCAGCACACGGCCTACTTCCTCGAGTACCTCGAGGGCCGCTTCGGCGAGGGCACCGTCCGCCGCCTGAACGAGAAGCTGAGGATCCAGAAGTACGACGAGGAGACCTTCTGGGTTGAGCTGCTGGGCGAGCACGTCACCAAGTTGTGGGAGGAGTACGGCGAGAAGCTCAAGGACGAAAAGACGGTCGTCGTGAGCAAGGAGGATGTTTGAGGGACGGGTGAGAATTAGCCAGCGGCATCATGAGTTTTAGACTTTTGCGTTCATAGAGAGCCTACTTCAAGCACGAGGAGTTGAGCGGTCGCATATCGTGTTCTTATATTTATTGTGCTTTACATATCCTGTGAAACAAGAACGCCAGCAGAACGCCAGAAAATTCGACATGGTGTATAGAGCTGTCCAGTTCAAGACATATTAAAATAAAAAACGAGTGTATTCGAACGTTATCCTTGACCCATGAGTTCACTTCCTAACGCCTTAAAGAGAGAGAAACAAAAAGAGATCCTTTTCACACTACCGGCATGCCAACCGGTGAACACGCAAGGTTAGCCCAGCTTGGAAACACAACTAGCAAAGATGACTTCACTTCTATGAACGCATTGGGGCTGGAGCCACATCGCTCTCGCTGACAACACTACCAACCTCTGACCAGCTGGCGGGGGTCATCATACCGTCGCTCTCGCTGATTACGTCGTAGGGACGGGCGGCGGAGCCATTTCTCATGGAGACGCCATCGTTTCCAAAGTCCTCATGCGAGCCAATGACTGAGACCGAATCGGTTGGCGTGAGCTGGCCTTCAGTGAGGAACTCGTCGGGCTCGGAGCCAGCCTCAGAGACTGGCATCCTGGGTGTTGAAGGAAGTGGCGAGTAGAAGCCCTGCTCAGAGCTCTGGGCCCATGCCTGGATGGAAGCGTAGGCATCGTCATGTTGGCTCTCCTGGCCTGGGGTCATGTACTCCTCTGGGGCTGGGCTGCCGTCCAGGGTCACGGAAGACTGCGTCTGGACTGGGGACTGTGCACGAAGATCAATCAGGGATTCCGGCTCCTCCCTGATGTCTAGCTTGGGTGACTGGGGGTGCTCTTGGGTTGTGGCGCTGTAGATGTCTGACATAACCTCGTCTCTTGATGGAGCAACCTGGCTGGCCTGTGCGGTTTCGATAATATCGGAGATGATAAAGTGTTCGTCCGCAAAGGGGTTTGCAAAAACAGACGCAGGCATTCCTCGAATAGTGTATGTGGATGCCTCGCCTCGATGTCGCAGGCCATCGGTAGCAGGTGCATCGGTCCCAGAACTGAAGACGAACGTGCCCCTCTCGGCACCCTCATCCTGTCGTAGGAAATCATCAAATGATGACCCTCTGCTTCCATTTGTCAAGCGCCTCACAGGAGTCGGCTCCTCTATGGCAGCCTGTTTCTCATCCATCTCCTTCTCCTTCTCCTTCTCCAGCAGCTGCGAGTTCCAGTAGAGGAGCTCCTCACGCTGCCTTCTCCGTGTTTCTTCGTCGGCATCGACGCCGGGTTCCGCACCCTCGCCGCGGCTCGATTGCATGAAACCGTGGGCATCCTCGGGTCGGTTGAAGAGCGGTTCTCTATGGGGAGGGTCGATTCCCTCTCCTATCGCGTGCAGAGCAACGGCTATTCGACGGCGGACATCGTCGGCGTAGCGCCTGAACTCGGGGGACTCGTAGAGAGCGATGGCGGTGGCTACCGCTACCGATACGGCGACAGCAGCGCCTGAGGCAAGAATGACATGGTTAGCGGCAGGCATATTTTTTTTTTCGCTTCTGATTGTTACTCTTGGGAAAAGCCAAAGCCCCAAGGCGTGGTGTGGAAATGGTAGAAAGGACCAGCAAAGAGAGTCAAAGAGAGTTGCCTCGAGGGTAGGTAGGTGTGGAGGCTGCTGCAAACCGGTACACAAATGATGGGCCCCAAATGCAGGCTACAGGTGATGCATCGGGCCCTTCGAATCATAAGAAAACAACACAAGGCTTCTCCAGATGACGGGGGCAAAACAGCGGACAAAAAAGTGTTGGGGATGGGCCGCGTGTGATGATTTATTGGAGGGAACAGGTGATTGCGCGGTCCCCTGGCCTGGGCCTGGAGCCTAGAGGCTCAGGTGGCGAACAGCTGAACCTGCTGGAAGAGCGTCGTGGGTTGTGCCGCCTGTGACGAAACGCGGGGTACAGGCAGGCTGCGAACTGATCGCCATCGCCTTGATCGGACGCATGAATGAACGTTGGACGTACCTTTTGCCGCCAGTGGAATTGGCATTCTGAAGCAGGGCTCGGCGAGCCGTCCCCTTCTTCGTGTGAGTGTAGTCGGCAAGAGTATGTAGTGGGCGGGACGAGGTTGAAGGACGGGGAATTGACTGTAGCAGCGGTCGGACGGGGCGGGAGGGGCTATGTCCTGATTCTTGTATCCGCTGGCGCTGTGCGTCCGCGGCGTATTCCTTCGACTTTAGCTTTCCAGTCCCCCAGCTGCGTAAGGCTAATTTATCACCCAGGAGCTATAAAGTGCATTTTACTTTGCCAGTCAGACAGTAAGCCGCGAGGTAGAGAACTCAAGCACGCCCGACTCATGTTGGCTGACTCCCCAGCCTGAGCTCGAGGGAGAGGCTTGATTTGTGGCTGATGACGACACCCGACGCTCATCAGTGGCGTGCGCACGCAACCAGAGACCGCCCATCCTTGGGTCCATCCCGTCACACGACTCGCAAGCGCCTCGCCTCTGCCATCTCTTCCTCTCTTGGTGGGTGGCTGCACCCAGAAATGGAAAGTAGCACGAAGAGTGAGGCACCGTGCCGTTTCTGGCCGTCGAGGGCAGCGCCAGCACCAGCGCCAGTACAAGACGTAGCATCCGTTTCACCTTATTTCCGCCATCTGCCCGCCTTGAACTGATAATTCGAAGACGAACCAAAAGAAGACATCCCCTAACTAGTTGGGATAGTCAGTACACGCACTAGGCCTAGGTTACGGGAGCCACGGGAGCTGTACCCCAGCGGGGGATTTAGTCTCGAGTCTGCAGCAGTGGTGAAACGCCCAACATCGTAACAACTCCGTTCTGGCTTCTCACGGTCAATCATCACTTACAATCTGCTCCTCGCGGCCATCTTAATATTTCCTCTTGCTCAATATCAAAAAAGCCATCTCTAGAGTCATCCTGGATACTACATCCACTGCCTGCAGGGTGCAATCAGTGGGGGCGGGTCCGGACTCGGGATGGATCTGGTGGGGCCGGTTGACATCCACTTAGAGAACTGGATGCCATCTGAGTTGAGAGGAGTTGAGAGAGCACCATCTTATACGGGTTAGAATGAGTGATTACTTATTTAGTCTTTTAGCATCTAGATCACAGCTACTCGGCGAGGTGAGAATTTCTAGATCCGAGACAGTTTTCATCTATCTCTGGCTCTCACTGTGAATAGTTGCGGACCAATGATTACCTGGATATTGGATTTGGGCTTGTTTCGAACAACAACAGTAGGCTCATTGCTAGCCAGAGAATGTTTTTCTCAGGGATTTCTACCACGCCAGTTCCTTCTATCGATTTATATTTTTTTTTAGATATACTAGATATATGGCAATCCACCAACAGCCACTGTCTGTCTGCCAGACCATCTCAATGAGCTCACGATAGCCTCGGGAGGGTCGTCATTCCAGCATCACTTGCAGCTTACAATATAGCAGTGATGTTAATTCTCTGCAGCCCCTCCTCAGCCGTTCCCGGGGTCCTCCAGGTGATCTGGAAAGTACCAGGCTCCTCCGTGTTGGCGAGATAGAAGAAGGTGTGCGTGTCCGAGGTTCCGCTGGGGTTGGCCGGGACCATGAAGGTGCCGTAGCGGAGCCATTTCGAGATGTAGCCGTCGCCGAGCGATGACTCGTCGTTGGTGAGCAGAACAGGGTCCGTGGCGCCCGTGGCGTTGTTGATGGCGATGAAGGTGCCGTCGGGCAGGTCCTCGGAGGTAGCTGGCGGGACGGGGCCGACGAGCACCTGCGGCTGGGTGCCAGTCCAGTCGGGGACTACGGGGGAAAACGTTAGAGAATACATCTAGGACTTGAGATGAAAGCACGTGGCTCTGCCTTCCGTGGTTTCAAAATGGCGGGGGGGGAACTCATTGGTCTTTTTAAGACTTACTGGTGAAGTTCAGAGCATTGCTCACGCTCGCAGGGACCTTGGGGCCAACGTACAAGTTGCCGTCACCGTACCAGGTACGGTAGGTGATTGTCTCACCAGGCGTGCCGGTGTAGATCTGACCAACCACACGGAAGTTTTGGGCGCTGGCAGCTGTAGAAAAGACAGCTCCGGCGGCCATGGCTTTCTTGAAGATCGACGGCATGATGAATACTGATTTGCGAGGGAGGCCTGCTAGGTATGCTGTGAATGTGGCGGTGGAATGGTGAAGGGGACGGTCAATCGGGGCGACCCTTGGACCGCCCTTTTATACATGGAGCTCCGAAATGTCATGTCTCCCGGCCGTCGCGTGCCTGCATGAGACATGACATACAGAGATTGGCAACGACTGCCTGCCGCCCATGCAACCGTGAAGGGGTACCTGCTTGCTGGAAGCACAGTCCCAATCTATGTGAAGCACCTGAGCGGTAGCGCCAAATCGCTGGCGCAGGAGTGCCTGTCGCTGCAAGGATCGCGGCCCCAAGCTGGTAGAGAATTATCCCAGAGAGTAACGTAGCAAAGGGCAATCATGTGGAGGAAATCGCCAATCGGGCAGGTGGCCGCCTCCGCACGTCGCATCAGCAGTACCCTGGCCAATCGCCAGCACTCATTTAGGGTGAGTAAAGGCCCGAGATGCATCGCGGGAGGGTCGCAATCGGGAAACCCCCAGAGAGCTTCGATGTCGGTTTATGACGAGTCTGTCTGCATGACAATTAAGCTTGCTGGGCTATTGGCAAGGGACACCGTGTAGAATCAGACCATCTGCAGATCATGGCTGGACTAAGGAGCTGGAAAAAGAAATCTGGCCAGGCTGAAGGTCACGTCCGACTTTTGCTATTTCCTGATGGGGTCATGAAACGCCGACGCATAAGGCAGGAAGCGCTTTGGACCCCGGGCGCGTATAAATGATCGTGTCCACTAACACTCCCGATGAGGGAGAGATGGGACGAATAGAAGCTTGAAAATAAAGTTTATGCCCAAGATTATTCGGCAGGCTGCGTGTGTATTCGCGGATTTGTAGATGCAAATCTGTGGCTAAAGTCTTCGCTTTGAATGGTGCAAGCTGTAAGCTGTCAGATGGTTAAAGGAAGTAATATTCAGACTAGAAATGTATAGGCTAAGCCATAGTTTGTAGACTCACCATATGGTTTTCTGTTGGAGGTTTTACGATTTAGACGCGCCACTGCTACTTCTCTTGCCTACTTCTCCATGGTTTGCAGATCATCTGAATCTGGGACGGGGATGCGAAGAGCCTCACGGGCCGTGGCGGGTGCACCCAAATTTCCAAACACGAGCCGCTCGTGTGACACTCAGCCTCCAGGAAGCCTCTCTTATTGGGCAATCCACATCAATGGTAGTCACCAATGCCAGCTATCATTTTATTGATCCAAGTCTTTGCCGATGCTCATCTGGGGCCCTATGGGATCGTTTGCAATTCCTCATATTACTGGATTAGCACTCGTTCGGAGGTGGACGATGAGCCACCTACGAACACGACCTCCGTCAAAGGAAGCGAATGAATAGCCAATCGGCTAAGAAACGTTCTCGGATGCTAGTCCCGTGTCGGCCTGGGCGTGCATGGTTTCCGCCCGGCAAACTTTGATATGTTGGGGCCATGGCATTGTCTATTTCCCCGGGGCTCGCTTCCTTGGCGGCTCTCTATACCTTCACAGGAAAAGTATCCGCCCATGGCTTGCAACTTAGGTACAAAATCAATAAGCTTCAAGGCTCCTCGGCCCTCAAGTGACACGGCTCGGTACGTACCAAAGCAAGGTAACCTTTTGGCATGCATGAAGTAATTTGGGTCTTGTTCATAAAAGTCTCAACGTGAAATACAATCGTAGTGAGATGAAAGTCGAGGTCATGGAAAAGTGTCAATTTATCATCAATTGATGGATTCAGTAGAGCAACACCGTGGCTCCTTGCCCAATAAAGTTCCCCTATGGTATAACTTTTTCCCCCGTAAAACACAAATAAAACTCGCTAATATTTTGAAAACCCATTCAGACCAGGCTAGAAAATGCCGAAAGAGCAAGCATCCTTCTTGGAACATCTGCCAGACCGGACCCCCCACAAGTTCGGGGAATGTCCCCCGAGATCTAGGGGATCTGGTGAGGCTAGACGATCACCACACGGGGTGGTAGGACGCGTTTAAATTGTCATGTGAAATTCTTTAGAGGGACTTCTCGGAAGCGTTGCTGTCAACGGAGTCCATGGTGTTGGTACGGGCTGCCTTCTTGCGCTCACTGAGACGGAAAAGTTAGCACAAGAAAAACATTTCAAGCTTTAGTACTGAGAAAGGGACACATACTAGTGGTGGCGGTCCTGAATGACACACTTGTAGGAAGCACCTCCGGTCTTGATGCGGAACTCGATTCCCTTGTTCTCGCCGAGGCCGTTGGAGTGAGCAGCAGGGCTGGTGGCAGCAGCGGCGGCGGAGGAAGCAGAAGAAGTGCTGGCGGCAGATGATCCGGTCATTTTGGCAGATTGAAGAGTGTGAGAGAGAGATTGGTGGGTATAGTTTGTTGAGTAGTTTTGCAGTGTGCAACGAGCAGGACTGTAGAGTATGAAGATGGGATGGACGAGGGAGAGAAGGCCAGGAGGAAAGGGAGAGAGGATGAGGTTAATATAGGGAGGTCAGAGCTGGATGATGCGAGGCAGGAGGGCAAATCGACTACTACGAGGTATTACATTACGCCCGGCCAAAGATAGCATGCGGGTGGCACCTGGGACGGATACATCGGTAGGTACCTTGTTTCTGCCACACCTGACGTTAGTTTCCTCTTACATGAAATAATCGCTCGCGCTTCTCTGAACTCCGTCCGTCGTGTCTCAGGGCCGGGAAGGAGAGAAACAGTAGCTTATCCAGAGCGCAACTAATATGGAGAAGGCGGCCGTCTCCCCACATGGGCACCAGCCAACCACCTGCACTCCAGCCGTGAGCCATTTTCCTGCTCGCCCCTCCAACGCCCTCCCCCAACTAATCCAAGACAATAATAGGTACCTACAGTGCGGTAAGTGGCACGAAGTGGCCCTCCTCCTATTTCTGGGGCTCTTGTTTTCGGCCTGTTGGATCAACAAAATTACAAAGGGGTGTGGATGTCCTCTGCCTTCGCCCAGACCGAGACAGCCAGCGTGCCACGCCACGATTCCGGGCTTGCTCCGTCTCAACTGATGTAATAGCGAATAAAATCCGGATCAATGGGTTCGCCTAGACAATGTAGATACAGTGCTGTCTGCCTTGTACCTTGTTTGGCCTTGGAGAATTGGAGACTCAAGCCGGGTCGGCACCGGACTTGTGGGGGTGGGAGGCAAGCCTTGTGGCATTTCGCTCACAAGTCACCCTCCAAGGACGGCAAGAGAGTGCCGTTGCATTGATGGACCCTGACGGCGCCGTCCGTTGGGGAGCGAGAAATCCGAAGAGGCGAAATGGCGCCCTGGGTGCACCTCGCACTGGGTATCAGGTTTATCAGACAGTTGCACACCCCCACGGGAATGCCGCCCGCAGCATTCATGAGTGGCTACGCGAGATAGGGTTTGAGACAGACACGCCATCGCTTGATGAGTTTTCCAATGACCTGACCGAGAGGAAAGAGAAAGCTGGACGGGTGGCGGTGACCAGGGCGAGGGCCAGGCCAGATGATTGGGTGCCCAACTGCCCCGGCCGCCCCAAAGGGCTCTGATTGACCGAGGACGAGGGAGTTCAGGTCCCCTGTCCCCATCCTCGTCTATTCTAGAAAGGCGATAGAACGATCGAGTGCTGCCACTTTGGTGGAGGTGCATGCGGCTGATTTGCTGGCCATATGCAGCAGGCGAACAGACCACCTCATTTTTCTGCACCAGCTACGGAAGCGACAGTCAGGCAACCACCAGCGCGAGGCGAGTGCGTCTCGCTGACGGGAATTCAGCTTGCCATTGATTGATTATTGACCGCCGTTGGCCCGTCATCGGACGTTGCAGGCCGGGGTGGTGGCACGGCAGCATCATACTCGTGTCATGTCTCGCTTTCGGTGCAGACCAGACACCGGGCCGGAGGACGCAGCTGAGCAAAACAGGACACAATCACGGTCATGCACTCGTCAAAATGCAATGTCTATCAATGTGCGTGCCTCTGGGCTAGCAATTGATTCCTTGTGGCGATTCTCGCGGTAACCGGCGATAAATTGGCCGATCAATAGTAACCACCAACGAACTACGTCGAAGCCGCTGCCGATGTCTCCGCGGCCGATGCGCTTGCACAGGAGCCTAGCAGGCCCTGTATCTCTAGAAATTAGGTAATGAAATCCGATTGTGTGTGGGAGAGCGAGATGTCTTGTGGGGATGGATATTCAATCCTAGACATTCGCACATCCTCTGAATGGGCCCTCATGCAGTCCAAACGTGCGCCCTGGGGCCCAGACATCATCGGACTTCGGTGATCGCAGTGGGCCGCTCATCCTTCCTTCATCCAGTCAACTTCAAGATCGTATTCTTATTCTCCTGGACCCCTAACCAATTTTCTGGGCCTGCTCCTCAACCCACACGTCATGTGAATGCAGCTCTGTACATCAGCTTCACAAGAGATATGCAGAGCAAGTCGCTGATGATCTCCTGAGGTCTTGGGCGTGCTGGTTGCGCAATTGCCCCAGTTATTCAGAAACAAACAGTGTGTTCTGGTGTCAAAAATGGTGGTGGTGCTGTGGATGTAATTTGTCGCGCAAATTTGGTGTCGATACCTCATCAACAAGCCAGGCTGACGTATGATAACAAGTATCAGTTACCCCGGGGATCCCCAGCCAACCACAGTGATGCAAATCGGGCCACACTGGCTTCGAGGAGATAAAGTACATGAAATATTCCCGCTCGCGTGCCCGCCAAAGTATCAAGATCGGTAAATTAGGCTGTCTCGACGGAAACCTTAGGATACCTAAATTCCTAGCCCGTGGAACACGGCGAGACACTCCCCGTCAGCGCTGTCATCGCCATCGCTTGTCACCACTCAATCTCGTGTATGTACATGCGCTGAACTTTGAAGAAGATCCAGGGACTGGCGCCGTTTCACCACGCTCGCCTCGTCATGACGTCAAACTCATCATCAAAATGCCTCTCTCCGGGGTCCCTTCATCCTCGTGACGATGGTTCCTCCGCCTTACCCTTTGCGGTTGGCGGACGGCACCATTGTTCCCTCTTCCCACCCCCAAACAGGCCAATGCTGTGCAGCACGTTGATAATAATAATAAACACGCAAAGATAGCGCATTGCTCATATTACCTCCCCACACTATAGTAATAGTCCGTCTCCACGATCACCAGCAGAGCCATCTCGCTCTCGCTTGCTGAGAGTAGAGACACATTTCCCGCTCACCGCTGCTTTGTCGCTTCCACCATTCCCTCCTTCCCATTTCTCCTGTTCTCACTCCCTCGCTCTCTTGTTCTCATCTCCACCCATACCAGAGTGACTTTTGGTACAAATCCGGCATGAGAAACACAGACGGGGCACATGAGAGACACCGGCAACAGTATATGCATAACAGAGCTCAGTCATGTTTCAAATCCATCCCTGTTCGTAGATTGTCATAGAGCCCGCCCCGTTGGTATGTGGCCTGGAGCGTTCTGCGGGGAGCTCCATGTGCCAAGGCTGGCTTGTCATCTTCTATCAAGCATAGGCTATTATGATGAGGCAGAGCTAATATAAGGTTGTTTCTCTTTTACCCGAAAAGCCTCTTCATCCGGATGGAGGTGCGGGTCTGAAACAGGGTGTAAAATGTTGATACTGGATGTCCTGTAGCCTGCCTATGGTGTAGGTACGTTGGCTGCCTCCCGAGATCAAGAGCGTCGGTCTATTCCAGGCCTTTAGTTCTGACTCGTGCTCTCCCTGCGTCTTGGCCTGCCTTCAGGTAGTAGGTTAGACCGATGCAAGACATAATTATCCCAAGAAAGCAAGTAAACTTCATGACTTGGCCATGACTGGCATGGTCTCAGGCAATAGTCTGATAGCGGCCGATTATGTGTCAAGATCCCCATGAGAAGATGCAACCTTCTCGGTAGGGAACAGGTTAAGCTTACTTTTGGTGGCGGGGTGGAAAGAGGGAGCCAATTCCCTGGAATCTTAAATCCACCTATCCATGGACGTGTCTCTGGGGTGTGCAACGAGAGGCAAGATGTGTACCTCTGTGGTTGTGCCAACCACTCCAAAATCAGCTTCGATTGGCCCGGATTTGAGTCGACTCAGAGGCCGAGACACGCACACGCACACGGCCGGTAGGACTGGTGGCGTCCTTTCTATCGGCTATCGAGCATTCGCATCGCCTCTTCCTCCTTGTCCAACTGCTTGGTTTCCCCGTTCTCAGCCTGGAGGCCCCTCTTCTGCATTTCTCTCTCCACCAGAGTCCTCGTCGTCATCCCCTCGCCCACCCACGGCATTTCTTCCCTTCTCGATGCCAGAATGCCCTCGACGCTCCTCATTCCAACTACCAAGAATCCAAGGTCCTCTCTGTCAACGTCAAAAACCTCCCACCACTCTGTTTCAGGCATTTTGGCCCCCAGGTCCCGCGCAGCATTGTATATCGCCGCAGTGGCCAGCGCATGCGGCTGGTGCGTCAAGTAGAGCATCTGCGGTGACAGCAGAGCCGTGTTGAGATACTGTGTAACTCGGTGGGATATGGTGGACTTGGGCTGTGATAGAAAGTCGAGGGTCTGCAGGTATGTGATGCCGAGGGCGTGGGGGAGGGATACGTGGGTGTTGAAGGAAAGGCAGTAGAGGATACGCGCCTCGAGGGCGAGCAGGCGGCTCTGGAACGCGAAGTAGTCGGATTCGGTCTGGTAATACGCCTTTGGATCCTCCTCCGGCCTTCCCTCCTGAGGGGCGCGGAAGAGTGACGACTTGGGGGAAAGAAGGTAGGCGTAGACGTTTGATACATCACGAGTCGAGCGTGGCATCGGACCAACTTTGGCGACAAGGTAAAGGGCAGCGGCGGACACGTCCTGGACTCTGAGTTAGCGACCTGGAATCTTGCGCTTCTTCCCGCTATGGTCACGGACAATTGAAGTTGCCTGGCTTCAAACTTACACTGAATTCATGGGCCATTGGCGAATCAATCAGCCAGTAGCGGGCGAGAATTACATTTGCCTGCGCGGTGACGGATTGGGGGAGCTCCAGCAGCAGTCCCGCGGCCTGGGTCAGGCATTGCGTCGTGATGAAGACGACTTCGCGTATATCGGTAGGTAAAGATGAGAATGACGTATGGTTGTACAACTGAGAAGGAGTCGCTAATGGATTTGTGAGGTGCGCCATGGCTGTAAGGATGTCCAGGCAGTCAGCTGTTGAATGCTGTGCAAGTATGAAGAGGAAACAAATATTTCGGGAGCTACATGTGATAATGTCTGAGCTTTAGCTATGGTAAGCCTGAGTCTTGGGCCCTTGCCGCCGCTGTGGGGCCGAGACTCAGCTCTGTGGCAGTAGGTGACATAAAAGGCAACACACCAAGATCACCAGCGTAGGATTCCAACATGATCACGGCACAGTTGACTACATAAACGGTGAATCTCGAAATCCTTTTATTCTTGAAATTTAGTTGAATATTTTGAAATAAGGTTTTTTACTGTCGATCAATGCAGATCACACTGTAATTGACATATCAGAGGCTAAGCGTATCGTTCCTGTGCTATTTTCTCTGTCACCGACAATGGATGGCATCCTTTCAAAAAGTAGAACCAACAAGTAGGTGCTTCATTCATCCCCATACCATGCTGATATTTCATGATACCAAGAATGATTGTTACTTTATGTCATGAGAGCATGGCAGCTCCTGAAAAAAAAACACCTCACTCTGATTGCACAGCTGGATATGTGATGGCGATGCAGCGTTCTAGGCCCCGTTTAACCTGGTTTCCCTTTATTGGGCACGCAGCTGATAATTCATTTATGCAGTGTATCATTGCGGTCAAATCAGGGCACGGCCACTCCCAATCAGCCTCACTGGTGGGATGACATGCAAGGATAGACGCCTTACCGAGGGGCTGAATCTCTAAAGGCAAGCAGCCCCTCGAACCATACTACTGCCATTTTTGAAGGGCTGTAGATTTTTCTCATTCAATCTGATCCCGTTTCTTCCTGAAATCAATTCTCCAGCTGCATAGGGTACATCATGTCGCAACAAGTTCAGGCTCAGGCTGACGTTGGCTCTCTGAGCCTGAGAGGCTTGGGGCTTTTTACCGATGTACTAGCTGCTCTCTCTGCCGACAATGTCGCACCAGTGGCAATGATCCAGATGGAGCAACTCGGCGCTCTGTTTCATGTCAACGGCCGTTTTGCCAACAGCGTTCCCGAGCTCCTCACACGGGCTTCCTCCCACCCGATCGGCCGGTTGACACTGGCGGTAGGGTGGCGCCGTGGTGACTCAGTCTCGCTTCTTGCTGAGTCTGCCGGGGGCCAGGCCATATCGCTGCTGTCACTCTGCATCACGAACATATACAACGAAGAAGCTGTCGGGCAGATTCTGTCGCAGCTCAGCTTCAAACTATTACCAAAGTCATCTCCACGTGCTGGCGTGGCCCCCTTGGCTGATGTTGCGGCCTTGGTGGCATCGAAATTGAACAGATTCGGGTTTGGGAATGTCCTTGCAGAACAGACGATGAGAGTACATTCGGCATTCGAGAAACTGGAAACCACTATCCCGGACGGTCTTCTGGAGCTGCCTACTGTTGAATCTATCACGGATGTTTTCGAATGCCTAAGCCATCTTCGGGAAGATGATACAGTTGTTAGGATTTCTGGGTCACCCGGAATTCTGTACCTGCTATCAATAATCATTTTCATGTTCCCACATGATGCAATCATAACAGTTGAGTCATACGTTATCCACGAAGGAGAAGCCGGGGGCAGAATCATCATCGAAATTTGTGATTCTGCCCCAGTACAAGTTCGAGTGGAGAAGAAACTCAGTCAATCTGCGCCACTCACACTGCCCATGAAGGCCTGTGAAGATGGGTGGAAGATCAAGGGAGCTTGTTCATTTGCATGGGAAGGATGGATAGCTCGGAAGCTCCAGATTGAGTTTGCAAGAGTTGGCTCAACATGTACCCAAGAGGTATTAGTTGCTTGTGGCTCCATGGTAGCTCACCTCGCTGAGGAGCTTAAAGTCTTCAAAGACACTGGATACAGTCAAGAGATTAGGTTCGAGGCCTTGCTCGGGCTGCATCCCGCCCGCAGAATTGATAGAATCTGTCGAGAAGTTTTCCTGGCGCCGGCGGAGAAAACCAAGTCAGATGCACGAACTGCTTGGGAACGCTTCATTTCCATCTTAACCCCAATCTTAGAAGGCGCCAAGTGCCAACCTGGAAAGCGTTGTCTGTGTTGTCCCATTACCCATCATGATTGGAGCTTAGATATGTACTATACCACACGGCCCAGATGTCCATTAATCGATCTCCGGTACACGATTGGAAATAGTTTGGCAGCTGGGCTTTATTGCCTTCTCATAAATGCGCATGGGTCAACCTCCGTGTCTGGAATACTTCCATCACTTGATGTGATAAAGGGCATCCTATCCTTCACGATAGACTCGAACCGGCCCAGAAAAGACCGACGGAGTCCCGACATTTTAGATGATGTGATGCGACTAATACATCCATCAGGATCACTTGGTCGCAGTTCAGGGGCATGCACAATCTTTCCGACCAACCTTGAAACCTTGGAAGTTGACCCGGATCAAACGTTCACCTTTGAACTCCACGAAGGAACTTTCGTTTTCCAAAATCGATACCATCAATGTCTTGCCAGCGACGGAGCTTCGCGGCCTCCAGCCAGTGCGTCTCTGGCAAGTGACCTCTCGCATATTATTCCTTCGAGCCATGGGGAGCATTCTTCTCTTGAATTCACGTTGCGTGAGGGCTATAAAAAACTCATTTTATCTACAACCATTCACGGCTTGGGTCGCTCCTCACGCGTAAATCTTGCATCGGTGATTGCTAGCTCTATATGGCTTGAACGAAGTCACCATTGCGGGCATCGGCTTGATAGTCCGCTGGATGTTTCCAAAACATCCAATTTGATTGACAGCTTGGCAGTGTCAGATGTGATGAATCCAAAGACAAAGAGCGCGCTATCACTAGTCATGGTGCGCTCGAACTCTATGGCCCAGTTCCTCTGTTGTGAGGCGGATTCGAGTTGTTTGCTTGTAAAGGGAACCTGCCTGAACTGTGCGATTGAGCAAGCTGTTGGGAAATTTAATATCTTGATTATTGCTTGATTTCTGGCTTCCATTAAATCCACTTTGGAGACTAGGTAGTCATAGTTATTAACATAAATGAGTAAAATAGGATAACCGAATCAGTTCGAGATTAATATCACACTCGAGAGACCCAAACGCAGTGTAAATAAAGGTTGTGAGATCCTCAATGAACTGTGTTATGACAGATGACTTGCCCTAGGCTAAAAAAAAAGTTAATATTAGAGAAATTAGAGAAATTAGAAAATAAACCCATTAGATAACAAGCATTTCTGAGATTCAGTATGCATTATTTGGATCGAGATGTTTTGAGAGCCATCCTCCTCGAGTTAGTTGGAGGTTGAGATAGTACTTGGTACTTGGCGGTTAGCGCATCCACACTTCCAACCATTCCTATTTCCCATCCGAGCACCGCATCGCATGCATCCATACCTTAACTTACCTTCCATTCGAGCATGGGTACTAACTTGATGCTGAAAAGGTTCTGGTTTTAAGCAACCTCGACCTAGCCAGCTCATCATCGGCTTCGATCCATCACAGAACTTCCCGGCATGGCAGCTTCAGTCCCACCGTCGCCAATCGACGACCGGCCCAACTTCGACCTCAATCTCCAACACGGCCACAAGGACCTGGTCCTGGCCGTCGCCTTCAACACCTACGGCGACCGGTGCGCAACGGGCTCCGTCGATGGCAAGATCCGTGTATTCAATCGCCACAAGGATGGCATCTGGCGTCTGTGCGATAACTGGAGCGCGCATGGCGGTGAGGTCCTCGAGGTAGGTTCCATCACCCAAGGCTTCCTCGCCGACCACGGACAGCTCAGCTAACACTCGTCCGCCCCCTCGCCCAACAGCTCCAATGGCTCTCCGCCACCATCTACCCCAACATAATCGCCTCCCTCGGCATCGAGGGCTGGTTCTGCCTCTGGGCCGAGGACCCCTCCGCGGCGCCCGGCCGCCGCTTCTGCTCAGGCTCATCCCGCTCCGCCAGCTCAGGCACCGGCCGCCCGGCCTTCAGCTCGCGCTCCCCCAGGTCCCCCTACCGCTCCTTCAGCATCAAGCACAACGAGGAGAACCGCCACACCTACCTCGCCCTCCTCGCCACCGACGGCCGCCTCACGGTATTCGAGAACGAGCAGCCCGAGCACCTGTCCGAGTACGTCTCCATCGACGAGTTCTCCGTCTGCCCCAAGCCGAGCCGCGGCGAGGAGGTGTCCTTCAAGGTGCGCTTCGACCCGAACCCGGAGCCGTGCTACGCGGCGCTGCGCGCGGGCGTCATGACGGACTCGCTGGGCCTCGTCGTCGCGGGGATGGACACCGTCAAGGTGTACCGCTCTCGCGAGATCGTCACCACCGCCCTGGGCGTCCAGAGCAGCCAGAAGGAATTCTACCCTGCGGTTGAGATCACCGGCCACCGGGGTCTGGTGCGAGACGTCGCATGGGCGCCGGGGAATATCAGAGGCTACGACATGATCGCCACGGCCTGCCAGGATGGCTATGTCCGCGTATATCGGCTGGACACACCCGACTCCAGCTCTAACGGTTCCTGGTCTGTTGCAAACCTTCACAAGCCTGTCGCGGATAATGGCGACAGCAACGAATCTGCGATCGCCAAGAGCGGTCCCCTAGAAAAGCACTCCCATCACTCCTCAAGCCTCAGCGCAAGTCTGGCCAAGTCTGGGGCCAATGGAGATAGAGTCTGGGCCGGGCAGCCTGGGCAAGTGAAGCATACATACAAGGAGATCTCCAGGCTGGACAACGACCGCACCCCCATCTGGCGTGTCGGCTTCGACGACGATGGCCAGATTCTAGGCACAACCGGCGATGATGGGCGTTTACTCTGCTACCGTCAGACTCCCGATGGCTCATGGGCTAAGAGCTCGGAGCTAGCCATGATGAAGACGCGGATGGTTGCGCCGTGAGAACCTTCTTATTGGTCCTGGCAAAGTCCCAGGCTATGGATAGGTTTACGTACCGGTTATCGAAACTACTGGCCGTAACCACCCTGTTCCCACTTAATAATCTGGAAATGATTCTCGTCGTGTTCTACGGGATCGTGAAGAGCTATGATCTCCCTAATGAGGATTCCTTGACGGAGTATGTCAGACATATGAAACATCAACCTGGAAGAGCAGAACTGGTCATTCGGGGGCTAATACTTTCCACCTTCAGGTTTCACGTCTACTTATCACAGCTACGTTCTGCTATGTAACCCATGGAATGTGGTTACGAAGAAATGCCGATATGGCATTGCCACCTTACATGGTGGCATAAAACACACCGGGAAGAGATGAAGCGGGCGATATAACTACATGGAGCTAGAGAGGTTGCTAGACCACAAAGCTCCGAACGGGGAAACAGGGAAGCCAACAAGTTGACTCCCATTTGCAAGCTTAGCCAACTTCAGATGTCAGTACAATCAACGATAGATGAGCAACAAGGAATGAGAACTTTCACGAACCAGGGAAACAGCCAAATCACAGACCACTTGGTCGATTATTAGAGACGGTGATAATGACTTCATTGGTATCGTTCACAGGAGTTTCTTATTCAGTCACAGGACTTAGATTAAGAAAGTTTTGGTCATCATAACGTTGCATTATCGTTCCTAATTCTAAAAAATACTTCATCACCAGTTGAAAGAATGCGGTAATGGAATGCTAAAAATCTTTATGTCCCCTTCACCCCAGTTGCTTTATTTCTTTCGAGGCCTTCTGGAAGACCACCAACTTTTGGAGTGGAAATCATAAACGCCATACTCTCCTGCTCGCCGTTTTCTCCTTCATTGTATTGCTTAAGCAGCATCGGCGCTGCCAATAGGCTGGGTCACCTTGGTAACCTGGTTGCCAGCTCGAATGATGCGCTGGCCAGCAGAGTCATTGACATAGGTAACGTCCTTGTTCTCGAACTGGGCGCGCTTCCAGATCTCAACCTCACATCCGCCACGGAGGACACCGTAGCGCATGGTAGACAGAAGGTTGTGAGCGGCGTTGGAGTGGTAGTAGACACCACCGTTGAAGATGGCGGTGGCATCCTTGCCAATAGCAGACTTGATCAGGGCTCTGCCACCAGGGTGATCCTTGATGAAGTCAGTGACATCGTGGATGACACCAGCGATGGCAACAAGAGCCTTTCCATTCTTGGCCTCCTCAACAAAGTCGTCCCAGCCAATGACAGGGAGCTGCTCGAGGGGGGTTCCCCAGTTGAGGGTGGCTCGCTTCTGGTCGAGCTTCTTCTGGAGCTGCTGAACACGTCCCTTCTCAATCTCGTTGGCGCGGAACTGCTTGAGGTCGTAGGCGAGACCGAGCCACTTCCAGAAGGTGATGGACCACTTGGTGGGATCCCACTGCCACCACTCAATAGCATTACGGTAATCAGATGGGAACTCGTGGTGGAAGTTGTGGTATCCCTCACCGAGGGTGACGAGGGCGGTGATGACGTGGTCACGGGGTGAGTTGCGGTCGTCGAAAGGCTGGTCACCGAGCCAATGAGCAAGGGAGTTGACGCAGAAGGTGGCTTGTTGGACGAAAGCGACGCGGAGAATAGCGGCGTAGACGAATCCACCAAGCCAATCGTTCCAGAGAAGACCGCAGACGGCGGTAGGGAAGATGAGGGCCATGAACAGCACACACTTGATGAAATTGCGGTGCTGCCAGACAACGACGGGGTCCTCGTTGAGGTCGGTGATATCGGTACGACCAGTGTTCTTGGGGTTCTGCTTGAAAACCATCCAGCCAAGATGAGAGTAGAGAAGACCCTTGCGGACGGAGTAGGGATCCTTGACGGTGTCGGTGTATCTGTGGTGAGCGCGATGGTCCCGAGACCACCAGCGGATAGAGCCCTCCATGGCGCCAGCGCCGACGGCAGCGAGGTAGATCTTGAGGGGAGTGGTGGCCTTGTATGAGCTGTGGGCCCAGAGACGGTGATATCCTGAATTTCAAAGTTAGCATGAAACTGACAAGCCTTGTTAGGGAATAATCAATTATTTACCTCCAGTGATACCAAGACCGGTGTTGAAGTAGTAGACAACTGAGAAGATGGCCGTGTTGAGCTTCAGAGGGACCCAGAAACATGAGATCAGGCCCAGAATGGGGATGAAGACGATAAAGGTTGTGTTCAGCCAGTTGACGTGCTGATGCCAATTTGACCAGGTCATAGGTTGATCGGAAATGTGAACTTTGTTGAGATCGGCTTTGGCGGAAGAGCCTCGCAGAGGCTTGTAATCCGTCGTGCCATCAGGGAAGGCCTTGGCCTGGGCGGCCGCTGGCACCGAGGTGGACATCTCGATGATGCTGTGCCTTTTCGTGTGTAAGAAGTTTCCCTATGAACCCTTATGTCGTGTTAGAGGTGACGACCGAATACCTCCCAGTGTAGGGCAAGGTGGAGGAAGGTGAGGGTGAGAAAGAGATGGTTGACGAAGGAAGGAAGTAACAGTAACGCCCACGGTGAGGCGGCTGGGGAAACATTTATATATGTGAATCCACTTACAAGGTATTTGTTGGCCGAAAATAAGCAGCAACGAACCGTAAGGTATCAATGAAGGAATGTCGGCACTGTACCAGGACCAGAGTGGAGGGGATGGGCCAGATTAGCAACTGTATGCTGGGGATTCGCCTTTTTGGGGGTTGAACTCCTCTCTAGCGATTCGGGTATCTGGTGGAGAAGTCGTTTATCTGTACTGTGCCAGGGACTAAAGGGAAGGGATAGAGACAAGGGCAGGCCGTAGTGGCAGGGACTATTCGATCTGCAGTATTCAACAATTCCAACGACCAAGTCACTACTATCAAACCAACATTCAAGCTCTCCATGCCCTACCAACAGCCCGCAGCCTAGCAAGCAGCCGGCAACTCCATCCAATAACAATCATTGAAAGTCTCTGCCATTTCCAATCTGTACTTTCCACAGTGTGCCGTTGCTCGGCCTCCCCACCTGGAACATGATTTTTTTTTTCTTTTGGCGAGGCTTGTCTCGAATCGATCCCCGTTCCTGCCTCTCAACCATTCTCCCCAACAACTTTTCTGGCGCGGCCCACCACCCCATGATTGGCTGGCTGTCATCCCTGCAATAATGGGAAAGTACTCCGGGGCGCCGTGAGCGCTGATCTCCGGCTGCCCGGATAACGCTTAGGTAAGGTGTTGTGACAGATACGTAGCAGCTCATGCTTTGCCATGTCCTTTGATGCCTTCTCATGCGGTGGCGCTGTTGAAAGTACCTGCAAATGCGTACATGACGGAGCATTCTAGGTAGGCGGCGAATAGGCTAGCCAAGCCCCGGCGGATAATTCGACCGACCGGTCGTTTGCGACTTGCCCTGACTCTAGGTCCCGAGCTACCCGCTGGTGACTCGTCGCAGTCGCCATTACCACCTCGCGCTCCCGTAAGCTATGACCACCTCCAGCCCTGCCTTCTTTTTTATCGTACCTGCTCTAGATCGCGGGGCTGATACCCAGCGATAAGATATCTGAACGCAGCCCGTTCCATTTAGCCGTTTCCGAGTTCTGACATCAGATAACCGTCACGTCCGGCTCAGTATCGCTCACATCTCCAAACTCTAACAATAGCTATCGTTTGGCATGTGCCATCTCACTTGACGCGCCCAAGTCACCGAGGGGTAACACACCCCCAAGATAACGTTAAGCCATTCCTTTTCCTTCCCTTGCGGGAACGGAACCCCACGCTAAGCGACCACTCCTGGACCCCCAAAACCTGTCAATCGAGAAGCACCCTTGTGTGTCGCAATTGGCAGAGAGAAGGAGCTCATCCCTCGATCCAACACTCGCGATCTCAAGTGTAAAATCTCAAAACCACCTGCCGAGATTGTAGCCATCCATCCCCCCTTCCTTCAGTGCCTCGGCTCGGTGCTTGCTCATGCAGGGCCTCAACGGCTAAGGAGGCTCGTCAAACCCTGCAGGGTTGTGCAGAGATCATCCACCCACCCCCAACAGATTCTGTGTGGCAAGGGTCCCCCGAATCTGGTTAACAGTTCACCTGCTGGAATTTTGCCGCTTTGAAGGTGGGGCATTCTTTCTAAATATGGTATCCTTCTAGAACCCTTCTATTTTCCAGGCTAGATGAGAATGGGGTTAGAGTGTGCCTGTCAATGTCAAAGTTTGAGACATTCTTAAGACATTGTGAAATCTTTCGGAGTAGAAGCAAGAAAATAGTCGTAATTTGTTGTGAGCTACTGGTAAGCTCTAATCTGATACTGCAACTATGTTATAATGTACAGATTCCCTAACTCTGGGGTTGTAATGAAGTTGCGTCACTGTTGCTGCTTCATGCTGTCATATCGCTCCACGCCCAAACATATATGCCCACGTTCCCCTCTTCAATACCAAATGCACCCGCTGTGAAAACACCCGTGATATGCCAAAAGAAAAACCCCACCCAACCAAGGCTTTGCAGCCGTCTTATTGCTCGAGCTCGCTAGTGAACAGTCCTGTCCACGCAAGTTTCTCAATTTCGTTACTCTATCCAAGTTGAAGATTGGCCCAACCCAAATGATTCATTCGTTTGTTGACAGTAAAAAGAAAGAAGAAAAGTAGAAGAATTGCGAGAAGTCAGTGCGTTGTATCATCCTTAGCTGACGCAAGCACTCGGAAGGTCCGAATCCAGCACAAGAGTGCGATTGTCCCGCAGCATCGAATCGTCATGCAACCTTGGATCATCGAAGCTACTCCCAATCTGTTGTAAAAGCGAGCTGGTATCCATTTGATATCCAGCAGCCTTAGGTGTTGAGTCTCCTGGTGACCCCAACGTAATGATTGCTGGCTGAGGTTGGGGAGGCTTCGGAGTTACATTCTCATCATCCTCAATGCCCTTGGCATCCTTGGTGAGATTGGAGCCCGTACTGGCGTGCCCAGATTTGACTGTTGGGGTTGCGGGAGTTGCAACGTTGTCTGAATTACTGCCAACAGAGGCGATTGTGCCATCTATCAGGATTCGAGTAGCCGATTCTTGAGCCTGGTCTGTTTCTGAAGGTAGTCCATCAATCTTTGCAGGATCACTGGACTCCAGCACCCTCAGAGTATCATCCATCTCGTCAACCTCAGACGAAGAACTTGGAGTCTCCATAATAACCTGGTCAGAATTTTCCGCCAAATCATTTTCAATCTCGATATCACCATCTTCACGTCGTAGAAGTTGGTGTTCGTCTTTAGATACTGTGGTTTCGGTTGACAAATCCGGTGGCGTCTCATCTTCTTGACACTCGCTTCTGTCATCCGGTGTGGTAGTCGGTAGACAGATTGAATCCGCAGTGGGAGTAGGTGTGTCTTGTTGAGCTTGCCCATCTTCGTCGTCCTCTTCGTATTCTTCCCCTGTCTCATCTTCTTCGTCGTCATCGTCCTCCTCTTCAACCTCGATATCGCTATAACCAGGTCTTGCGTAGTAGCTTGAAGCCCATACCGGGTGTTTTTGGTCGAAGCTGCTAGCTGAAATGCTCGGAGGTGAGCGCCCTCGGGGTGCAAAATCCTCCTCGTCCCATGATTCGTACGCAGGAGGTCTGATGTAGGGATAGAGGGAACCCGAAACCATGGAATGATCTCTAGGCAACGAGTCATGCGTATCCTCGTAGATGTAATTTGGGAGGATGGAACGAGCGTCGGCCGACGCGTGGTGATCTCGAGGGAACATGTCAACCAACAGGGTTGCTTGGAGTCGATCCTTCGGGTTGGGTTTGAGACAGATTTCGGTTACTCGTCTATACCAAAGCGGAACATCCACCTCTGGCCCAAGGACAAGCGGCCCCCTCTCCCTTTCGAGTTCCGGCTCGTCAACCCCCATGGCAAGAGCCCAGAGAACCATCCCCAATTGGTATAAGTCAGACTTGTTGCCGATATACATCGCAAGCCGGTTGTTAGACCTAAGGAGAGGTGTGGCCTCTGGGGGCTCCCAGCCGACCGGACACCCCCTCCTGTTGATATCGATGAGCTTGGCATCATGGTTTTCGTCCACAACGATGTTGGAAAGCGTAAAGTCACCCTGTACGAAACCAGACTCGTGTACATCTGCGAGACCTTGAATGATTTGCTGAGCCCATCTCTCCCTCAAAGGCCAACCCAAGCCCTGATTACTATCCCTGCATAGATCATAAATAATATCTATCAAAGCACCATGATGAGCATAGCCTATGAGGAGCCCCTTGACATATTCGTTATGCTCGTCCACCACGAGTCCATAGAAATCAATGACGTGATCCGAGTCCATTAGACTATTGAGGGCGTTGACTTCGTAGAGGAATTCCTGTATCGTATCCGGGCCGGGGATCTCCTTCTTGATGAGCACCGTGTTTCCCACATTGACTTTGTAAACAAAACCAGACATGTGCGAATCAAACTGGATGTCCGTCTCCCTGATGTGGCGGCAATCCAAGTGCGCCACTTGACTGACTGAGGGATACTCTATGATTTCCTAGGAGACATCTAGTTAGTATTACGGAAAGGGGGAAACAAAGAATAACAAAATCATCATCATCTCCAACACCAATGTGAGGCCACTCACATTTCCATCCTCGACCACATGAATATGTAGTCGGTCACCCAATGTTTCCAACTTGAGGTTCGTAACCGTGTCGTAAAACTGTATATCGGGCAGGCTGTCGCGAATGGCCTCGTATATCCGGGCGCTCTTGTCCTTCTGATATCTTATCTGGCTCAGAGTCATCTCCAGAGAATGATTGGGGGCGTTGCTGTAGTCGAGAGAAATGGTGATGCGCTTCCAGTCATAGTCGGTTTGGCGATATGTTACAAAGAATTTCTCTCGATCGGAGTGGTCCTTGAAGTGCATACTCAAATTAAGAATCCATCTTGTTTCCAGTTCATGGCGAATGGCTTCATTGTGGGATGGGGCGATGGAGTGAACGTCAGAAAGGGCATCGGGAGGCAAATGAAATTGATCAACTCCGTCGACCCCATCAGCGACGTTATCATAGAGGTCATCCAGGTGGCCAGGGTAAAGTTCCGGGGCATCAGGAGGGATCGCATAGGAGCAAGAAGACGTCGGCCGTGGAAGGACGGGGCCGCCATGGATTGGCTCGCTCTGTCTGAAGCCATATGAGCGGCGGTCCATTGATGCAGCTCGTCTTTCGTCCGATGTTGTCTTAACCGGAACTAAATGAACTCGACTCTCAGACTGTTGGCGCTTCAAGGTCTGTTGTCGGGGAAGCCCAGGCACCACACTTTTGAAGCCGCGCGGGTGGCTGCCCTTGCCCGGCCCGGCGAGCTCATTGTCGTCGTCATGAGAGTCCGCGGGATGAAGAGATGAGCGCTTGCTTCCGAACAACTTACGAGCAATCCTCTGAGCAGTCGTCGGCGGTGGCTCGGACTGTGGGGCCTCCGGCTGAGCCATTCTGCGGTGACGAATTTCAAATGACGGTCAAGACCCGACTCGCAATGCGACGACGGGGCTGACCTAGAGATAGGCGGCTGACGAAGTGAGGCTGCCTATCGCCTTTGACTGGTGGTGGTGCTGGATACGAGAGTGAGGAGGTGTCCTAGACTCCATAGAATTGGGAGGCCTATGCTGTATGCAGGTCTGTATATATCTGGTGGGATGTCTTTGGCTGGTGGAGGTGCGTGCAGCAAAGGCGGGGTGCTGTTCGTGGCGAACCGCCGGCCAAGATGCAGGCGAATGCAGATGAAGCACGCTGATTTGTCTCGGAGCGAGAGCTGAATGGGCGCCTGGAAGGATGTCGACTTATGTTTTCACAATAGGTGAGAATGGGCGGCGAGAATGGGCGAGGACGAAGGGTGCTAAATGCCAGCGACAGAGAGCATCTCATATCAAAGTGATCCACGCACTCATGAATTAATTCATGCCAGGCTAACCGGAGCGCATGGGGGTGTGAATTAGGCTGGACCAGGATAGGGCGCGGCTGCAGAACACGGGTGTGTCTGGCACTGGGAGGAAACAGTCTAGAACAGAGGTGAAAAGCAGGGCGGCAAGACGGGCAGGAGCAGGCAATGGCGACGGATGTTCTGGCGTTTGAGAGTGGAGGATCGTGATGAGGAACGGAATCCGAGGGGCTGCTTGGCGACGAATGGTGTGGCTGAACAGCAAAGCTAGGCCACCTGATGGTCTGCGAACGTTGTATATCCCTATTTGGCGAGCTACAGCGGCGTTGACTCTTACAGGAGCAGGACAGGACCCTGGAAGTCAATCTCACTGACCTCATCCATTACTGACTGCTACCACCGTCTCGGCGCGCTAAACGACGACCACCACAGCCTGAAGCTAGGATCCTCCACAGCGGGTGGGACGGGAACCTGACCTAGAGGCTTCAGCCCAGCGTTGCGCTATTGGGCAGCCACAAAGGTACCAGCCCCCCACCAACCTCCCATTTGCTGCCATTGCCATTTCCCTTTCCATCCCCATTTTCCACGGCACGGGCACGGGGCGGGCAGCTGTCTCAAGTGCTCAACCAAACAGAGCCCATAATTGACGGAGAGCGCACAGCCATTGTTTAGGGCCGCCCCCGTCAGATAAGCTGAGTGAGGGGGCGGCTTGAAGCTCAGCCCTACTTCTCCTGGTATTGAGGCAAGTATACGCGGGAATCTCCGTCGCTACCCAAAGAACAGCGCAACGGCCAGCCGTTGCCCAACAACTCAGGCGGCAAGAGTTTGAAACGGCAGACATCCGGCTCCAGGGACAAGAGGGATGAGGTCGCCGTCATGCGGCCTCCTGCAAGTGCTCCAGCGGTGTGTGGACAAATCCCCTTGCTTGGCTCCGAGCTAGCTGCCCTTGAATGAACCCTCCGATCGTGACGGTGAACAGCAAAAGAGTGGAGGAATGGATACAGAACCGATGCCAGCAGGATGGTCGGTGTGTAGAGCTGACCAAACAGATGGCCGCATCTTGGATCGTTGAGCTGCTGTTGCTATTCAGAGACCCAACTCCCTGACCTTTTACTGCTGTGATACGACGACACAAGACGAAGCCCGCCTCACCGCATTCCCCCCTTGTATTGGCCAGCAGGACAGATGAAAACGATGCCTAATAAAGGCCAGGCCAATCCTTCCACAGAGCTGACGATGGGAGCCCAAAATGCTCTTTTTTCCGTTTTGCCCGGTGTCAGCTCGATGGGGCATTCCCACAGCATTTCTCTGCCATTGATTGCGCTTGAGTCGTCTGCTCGCCTCTCTTCTTAGGCATCAATCACTCGGCCAGTTGGGCGAGGCCACCGGCAACCTGTCATTTCTGTAATATTATGACCGTCGTGCTAGTCAAGCCTTTCTTGGCCAGCCGGTGCAGCACTAGCATTTCGTCTCTCCTCTTTTCTCCATCGCTCTCCTCCCCGTCTCTCCTCCGTTAATACAACTCGCCAACTGGGTCCGTTCGTGGATCAGCCCATCGCATCCCAGCAGCGTGCCAACGTTATACACGCCGGCATTGGAGCCAGCGCAGCACTCTCAACACCATCCTGGAGTGCAATTACCTCCCTACATTGGACCCCTCTGAGCCCCTCGTTTTCAACTGGCGCCGAATCTCAACGGCTCGCGTTTTTCCACGTCACACATACATGCCCCATACACACCGTAGCACGTAGTAGTTCCCCTCCTGATCACCCGCCTCCATTCATCAATTCTCCGTTCTCGACCGCCTCACCAGTCGTCATGCTGAGCTGCTCTTCCGGGCCAAAGCTGGCACCACGATGGCCCCAGATACAGGCCTCCTTCGCCATTTCCGCGGCGGGGGTTGGGCATCGCTGCAGCCATCACGCAGCTTTTCCTGGTCGTCGGGAGTAGGACGCCATTCGTTCCACGATCGAGCATCATGGTGTTAACCCCTCTCGTCTCTCCCAGAGCTCGGAGTCGCAATCTGGGACCGTCGGTGATCCCGCAGGAATGATACCTGAATTGGCCATAGCTGCCTGTGATCAGGGTCGTTGACAACCCAGGCCAGGCCAGCATCACTCAGACCCCAGCGGGAAAAAAAAAAGACGCTATCGAGACAATGGGGCCAAGCCAAGCCAAGCAAATGCAAGGAAAATGAGGTCATCGTGATTTCAATTCCAGGTGAGCCAAAACGACAAGTCTCGAGATTGGGCCAACATGCATGCAACCACCATCACCACCTAGCAGTCAACCCATTGCTTTTTCCCTTCCGACCTCTCCCGCTCTCCCGCTACAATTACACAGGCGACACAGATGGGAATGGGAAATCCCTCGCCCAGCGCTAGCTTTCGTAGGGCCGCTGGCCTAGGCTCGTCCCGCCTGCTCCCCCACCACCTCCTTGCCGTGATCGCCCATTAGCTCCCCAGGACCAGGCCTCGAAAGCTTCAAACTATAGCAGCCACGTTTATAGCTGTAAATTGACCACTAGCGCTGCCATTGAGTCCCAGGCCAGGCAGGAGGATTGGAATGAGTCAAACATGCAACAATCTGACAAAAAGCCAGGCTTCTGCACCACGCCCGCATATCGGAACTTCACATGACGCATTACAGTCACGGCATTACTCGGTGGCGTCGCGTGGTGCCTGGAAATCTTGACGGGTGTACGACTATCAGGAAAGGTAAGAAGAATCGGAATTGGCTCTCGCAGGCTTAAGCGAAACCCAGCCGTGTAAACAATCGTGTGATTCTGCATGCACCAGCACCTCATGTGCGACATACGTAACAAGTCACAAATGCAAGCCTGAAGACCGGGAGCCGAATATGCTATAAACAGAATAGGAGTTGTTCGCTTTGCATTTCAATTCAATGCAGCTGCTCTGGCTTAAGATGCCCCGTCGAAACGCCAGACCCAAGCCCCCTCTCTCCCTATGTTAGAAAGACGCTGGGGTAAAGCTTTATATTTATAACATGCATATGATATCGTCTTTAAATGACCCCTCCCCAACCTCGTACAAGGCCCTATTTAATGCCTCTTTTTCACTTGCGTGAAATTGTGCCAGGTGCCGGTTTTTGGTTTTAATGAACTTCCCTAAAATTAGAATACATTGTTTCGTTTATTCGTTGTCCTCTGACTTTTCAGACTTCTTGTCTTCGATAATCTTACACGTGTTGGCAGCCTCCCTATCGAGGTCGGGAAAGACGAGCTCAAACACTTCGTTGTACCACTCGACGGGGTGGCCTTCTAGGCCCTCCTTGATGTTCTAGAGTAGAGAAAGAAAGTTAGTTAGCCAAGAGCACTCAACATTAGAACAGTAAAGATAAGAAACAAAACATACCTCTGGGAGTTCCAGCCAGTCCGACAGGTTGTCTCTGGGGAAGATGATGGTAGTGCAGCCTGCTCGTCTGGCGGCCACCGTCTTCTCCCTCAACCCACCGATGCGGAGGACTTTGCCCGTCAGGGTGAGCTCTCCAGTCATAGCTACAGTGGGGTTTACGGGAGCCTCGAGGGCGAGCGACAGCAGTGAGGTAGCCATCGTAATACCGGCTGACGGGCCATCCTTGGGCACGGCACCGTCGGGCACGTGCAGGTGCAGCTTGGCCTTGTCGAAGAAGTTGTTGTTGGGGAACTGCTTGACTCCGAAAGCCTTGGCAAAGGAGTAGGCAATAGTGGTGGACTCCTTCATCACATTCTTGAGGTTGCCGGTAATCTCCAGCCCGGGCCGCGAGCTAGGTCGCAGCGGTGACTGGAGAATAGATTCGATGTACATGGCGGCGCCTCCCATCTGTGTCCAGGCCAGGCCCATAGCGACACCTGGAGGGCTGACTTCGTACAGACGATCTGATGTGAACACGGGGGGGCCGATGTAGTCAGTCAAGTTATCCTTGCCAATCTGCACGTGGACCGTTTCGGGAACCTTCAAGGCTCTGCGAGGCTTCTCCGTCGTCTCGCTCTCGGTGGCCTCGGTGGATGGCTGAGCTTTTCCGGCGGTATCCTCAGCAGCGTCAGACTTCTTGCTGGACTCTTCCAGAGCGGACTTGCCCTCCTTGGTCAGAGCTTCCTCCTCAGGAAGAACATCCTCGCCCAACTCCTGGACAATCTTGAGCGCAGATTTGCGGTACACCTTCTCAATCTGCTTCTTCAAGTTACGCACACCAGATTCACGGCAGTACGACTTGATGAGCTCCTCGATGGCCTCCTCAGTCAGGTTGACATCAGCATTCGCCAAGCCAGCGGCCTCTTTAGCTGCCGGCGCAAGATACTTGTTAGCAATGGCCTTCTTCTCGTCCGCAACGTAGCCAGAGAGCGTGATCAGCTCCATACGATCCAGCAGCGGTCGGGGAATAGTATCAGTCATGTTTGCTGTGCAGACAAACAATACTTTGGAGAGATCCACAGGAACATCCAGGTAATGGTCCAAGAAAGAACCATTCTGCTCAGGGTCGAGAAGTTCGAGCAAGGCAGAGGATGGGTCTCCCTGATAGCCCTTTCCGATCTTATCCACCTCGTCAATCAACACAAGTGGGTTCTCGGTCTGGCATTTCTTCAATGCTTGAATAATACGACCGGGTAGTGCTCCAACGTACGTTCTTCGGTGGCCCTTGATCTCAGCAACATCGGTAAGACCTCCCACACTGAATCTGTAGTACTCGCGATTCAGCGCACGAGCAATGGACTTTCCGATACTGGTCTTTCCGACACCAGGGGGTCCCACGAAGCAAAGAATCTTGCCCTCGACCGTGCCTCGAAGTTTTCCAACGGCGATGAATTCAAGGATGCGATCCTTGACATCTTGTAAACCGTAGTGGTCTTCGTCCAGAACCTTCTGTGCATTGGGGATACCAAAGTTCTCTGGGCTCCTCTGGCCCCAAGGGATCTGTGTGAGCCAGTCCAGATAATTCCTCGTGACGTTGAACTCTGATGCGGCGGTTTCCAGGTGAGCAAGCTTGTTAAGCTCCTCGTCGAAGACCTTTCGGACCGCATCAGGCATGGCAAGCTTGTTTGCCTTGTCCTTGAACTTCTCCACAAGCTTGTCCTTGCCATCCGATTCGAGCCCAAGCTCCCTGCGAATGCCCTTCATTTGCTCCATGAGCCAGTACTCGCGCTGGCGCTTGCTGATCTTCTGCTCGACATCTTTGGTAATCTTAGACTGCAGCTGCGCATTCATGAGCTCCTTCTTCAGGACGGTGAGGGCCTTCTGCATCCTTTCCTCAACATTCATGCAGGCGAGGACCTCCTGAAGCTCAGTCTGCTCGCCAGATGAGACCGCAGCCGCAAAGTCGGCCAGCTTGGCAGGCTCAGATGTAACATTGCCCGTCGACTGGCTCATGGAGAAAGTCGAAATCTGGTCGCGGAAGAGGTTGTTCATGGTAGCCACCTCCTTGAAGACATTGACAATCTCATTTGTCACAGCTCGAATGACGGGGCTTTTGGGGTCAAAAGCCTCCTCGACCATGTTCTCTACATTGACAAGACTGACAGCGTAGCGCTTGAGGAACGATGTGGGCTCGTACTTCTCGGCAACCTGGTCAGGCTTCTTCTCGACGGCGCCCTCTTCAAAGCTTGCAACGACATCTCCCTTCTTTTCTAGTTGTGTCTCTTCGGGTGCGGGCTTCTGAGGTACCGGCTCGGGGGTTGGAGGTTCGGCCTTGGGGTCACTCTTCTTGGTCTCTTTGGTCTCTTGAACTGTCGACGGCGCCACAAGACTCGATAACTTTATTCTTCGGTGGGGGTACAGGATAGCTGTCAAGGCGCCCTCCTGGCCATGAATGGGGAATGCGCTTGTGATCTGGGCGAAAACACCGACATCGTAGACGTCGTCCACATTTCGGATCACGTCATCGTCCTGGTTCTCGTCTTTGAAGAGGAATGCGCCAACATATGGCTGGCCCCGCTTAATCGATTCCGTAATGGCCGTAGCGACTTCGGGGTCTTTGATCGTGATGGCCTTGTAGAATCCAGGGAACAGCGGTCGCCTAGCTATGGGGATCGCCAGAACCTGGGGGTATACGTCGGGGACAACAGGCTTAGAAAGCGCTCGTTCCGAAGCCTTTCGACCCTTCTTTCCGCCATCGCCGCTGTTTCCATCGCCTCCGGCAGCTCCACCTGCGGCACTGGCAGCTTTACCATCCTGTGGATTACCACTGCTCTCAGACTTTGCAGATGCTTGCGACTCGGCCGCGGAGCTCTTTGAGTCCGTCTTCTCCTCCAAATCCTTCTTCTTATCCTGAGCCGCCTTTGCCTCCTCCTCTGCGGACTTCTCGGAATTCGCCTCGACAGAAGAGTCAAAGAAGCTCTTAGCTTTGTTGTCCTTGTCTCGCTCCTTGCCTAACCTCGCACTGGTGGAGAACGGAGCCTGTACCCATGTCGATCGAGCAGCTTCGAGACGTCGGGCAGCCGGAAAGCTATGGGAGGGGTGTGAGAGCCATTGCCTGCGAGAATTCGATAGGGCTGAAGCTCTGACGGACCGGCCGACCGAGTTCTCGAGGAGCAGGCGGCCGGTGACGCGGGATCGTGGGATCATGGTCACCGAGCAGCGAGAGCTTCAGGTAACGACTTGCTGATTCCTTTGCCGCTCAGAGCTAAACTGCGATCGCCGGTGACCAAGTCCGAGGCGGTATTCGTGTAGAGGAGTAGTTAGAGAGAGGAATTCCGAGAGAATGGGCGAGGGAGAAAGGAATTGGACTGAGAAGGTTGAAGGCGAGAGCCGGCCAGTCATGCAAGCATTATGGCGTAGTGGAGGCGCCTTACTAATGAATTTCGACGATGTCGGCGAGCTTCCATGGACAACCAAATGTTGGTGAAAATTGCGGATGCTTGCAGTTAGCAATCGCGGCCTAGCCTCGGGCCACGCAGCCAATGGCACCCCGCCAATCCGGTCTACGCCCCATAAATGATACGGCAGAGGATCTTATCAGTCGGAGGTGAGATGTGCCGAAGCTTATCCTGGCGTAAAGACCAGGCAGCTAGATGACGAAACTGCCATGGGCATCGGTGAGCTCGGTGGGCTTCAAAGAAAGGGGGGGTTATATCCTCATCTTTTGACTCAACGATAGACTCTGTTCATTATTCGTTATGCTATCCATAGCTGTCCCAAATGTTGAATATGGTCACTTATAAAGTACGGGCACGTGAGGCTGTCACACTCGTGCTCTCCACCAAAACGATGAGGAGGCACGGCTACATGCGGGGAAATCTTGGGCTCAGCACCAAGATATTCCCCACTGGATTCCAACTCCTCGTCTAAATACAACAAAGATTTCAGACCAACTAGATTGCTATTTCCTGGCTCCAGGAGCTCCCATCGCGTAGGCCGGACAAAGGATCTGCTCAAGCCTCTGCTGCCGAGCTTATCCCGACGAGGTTGGGCACTATTGAAGCTTTGTGTGAATAAGAATATCCTATCTCAGCACCAGCCCTCCTTGGTCACTCCCTTTTCTCTCGGATCCTCCATTCTTCGGCCAACCAGCTGAACTTCTTCCCCATTCGCTTCTTAGCTTATCATTATTATTGTCCCATACTTAAGATGGCAGACAAACAGCAGACGACCCAAAAGGAGGACGTCGCCAAGTCATTGTCTTCCTTGTCTCTAAACACATCTACCAAGGCCCCCAAGAAGGTAGCAAAGAAGAAGAAGGAAGTCGTGGCAGACTCCTGGGAGGATGAAGACGTGTCCGACTCGGGTTCAGATGACACGGGTGATGCGACATCAACTCCCACAGCCAGCGGCGCAAAGGAGCAGTCTGCCGGCACCAACGCACCACCGCCAACTCCTATATCCCCCACATACAGGAATGAATATCAGGACAATTGGTCAAGCCCATCCTCAAGCCAGGCAGATTCAGGGCCGCGACGACCAGAAAAGACGGATGCTGTCGCCAGACGTATGATTGCTGCCAGTCTTGGACTCAAAGCTCCCAAGCAAACGGATGAGCAAAGGGCCTACCAGAAATCCATAAGGGAGCAAGAAAGGAGGCGTCGTGAGCAGCAGAAAGAGGAAGAACAGAAGCAGAAAGAGAAGGCAGAAAAGGCCAAAGCAGCCGTTTGGGACGATTGAACTCTGGCCGAGTTTTGCAACAATTGGCTTTTATTCTGTTTATTTCACTAAATTACAATAAAGAATGAGGTTCTTCCCGCCGTTGGCGGTAGTCCTACCCAAGCACGTCTCGCTACTGTTCCATCAATGCTTCTCTAGCTCCACTTACTTCTCGCCGCGCGCCCTGGCAACGGAGGGGCGAGAGCTGACACGTTCATGCCAGGCCATGAAGTTAGGGTACTTCTTGTCCACTTCATACTTCTCCCTAAAGTTGGGGCCGACGACCTGGGGCGCTGTAATGATAGAGGACCAGGGAACGAATGCAAGATCAGCATATGTACTAAAGGAGAGAGGTTAGCTTCACGAATGGTAACGCTTTCGGGCAACTTACAGCTTGTTAGCAACAAGATATTCCTTGTCCTTCAAGATGTTATCGAGAACCTCGAGAACACGGGTGACCTGCTCCTCGTATCTGGTCTTGGCGGACGGGACGTCCTCGGGATGGAACCTGTGAAACCAGACCGCTTGTCCGAAGTAAGGGCCCTATATCCTGTCAGAGTTGCTTCGTATCTTGCAAGAGCGATGGTGTGTTTTCGCATACCTGTCCAGACATCTGGAAGTGCAAGTACTGCTTGAGGTGCCACTTGTCTTTAGCATCCTTGACGGTCAGCTTGCCCTCCTTGTCGTAGGTCTCGACGAGGTATTCAATGATAGCACCAGACTCCCAGAGAGTGAGGTCAGTGTTGGGGTCGATGATAGTGGGCACTCGGCCATTGGGGTTGATCTTGGTATACTCCTCGGCCTTGGGATTGTCGACCTCGATCTGAATAGGGTATGCATCAGTGCAAGATTCAAATGCCAACAAGAACGAAAGGCCCTACCTTCTTGTAAGGAATTCCCAGCTCCTCGAGGACAATCAGTACTTTGATAGGATTGGGCCCGACGCCTATAAATCACCAATGAGCACGCATGTATGCTGGATGTTTCACGGCGATTGAAGGACCTACCATGGGCGTAGATGGTGATAGGCTTGATGTCAGACATTTTGGTAGAGGATGAATACGGAGGATTATGATAAAGCAGTCTCGGGAAGGTTTGTGCTTGAAGTATCTGGTTGATTCAATGCAAAGAAAAGCTACTCTTCCATGCCTTTTATACTTATTCTACATTCAGAGGCGTGCCCATATCACCCCTCTGCCGGGGAGCTGTTACACCAGCCCGTCCGTATTGGCAGCATCCGACGACATCTTCCGTAGCGTCCAGACGACCAAAATCCGTGGACTTGCATACATTCCGCTACACAGCAGCCTCCAGAAGGCAGAATCCGTGGACTTCGATACGCACCCTGGCGCCCAGATGACAAATTTCAGGGGAGTAAAGTCTCCGAGCCATGAGACCAGCGCGCGGTTGAGGGCCAGTCGCACCAACTTCCGTCCGATGCATGCTTACAAAGCCGCGCGGTAAATCTAACATCTGGTGAAGAGCTTGGCCTGTCATGCTAGTCAACTCGCCCCATGCCGGAATCAGAGCGTTTTCGGCAAGCATTCCGCACATTGTTGCGCCTCGTGAGGCTACATCAACATATTCCACGTCGCATTATGTCAATGACCCATTTTCTTATCGGCTCAAGGGCAAGATCTTCCCAATATTCCCACTTTCCTAATATCGGTACAGATGCGAGACCGAGCAATTCTCGAACGTGTTTGTGGCCCTGGTGACACTGCGCAACTCATAGGACTTTGAGAGCGATCAACTAGAAACAAGTTGTTTTTAAGCTCCTTTCTAAATCGAAGCCTCGGTCCTCATATTTGTAGTCTTCTGCGATTTCGTAAATGACAGCCCATTTGCCTAGTCATCGTGGGCATATGCCATAAGCTTATCCCTCCATTCCATTTCCTTGGATCAAAATTTCTTAGAGGCGTCAAAGATCTCCTAAGGTCTACTTCATGCTTCAAAGCCACCATGTTTTCCTCGATCCTTCGCCGTAGGCCGTTCCCTCCCAATCAATCGCCGCATTGAGAGCCTCATCAGGTCCTATCAAGCAACGGCAGTACTACTCCATTTCGAAGAAGTACAAGCTCTGTTTCACCCTCCTGCCCATCCACATGCCTGGTCACCACGCCAAACCCTTCGAGCCCCTCCTCCTCCGCCCGGTGGTTCCAGATCATCTGCTTCAGGACCCCCTCCCTGGAACAGCAGAGGTATCCCATCGGCCACCGGCTTCTCCCCATCGACTCCCGCACGCCCTTCGTGGCCGGCCTCTCGCTCACCAAGAGTCCCAGCACCCCGGGGCCCCTCCAGCCCACCGGCGCGCCGACAAACGCCCCCTCCAGCTCGCGGATCAGGTTCGGCCCAGCACGCTGCGCCCCCGCCTTGCACTGCACCAGGGGCTTCATCACCCGCCTCGTCTTGGGCGGGGTCCAGGTGCCGAGGAGGTCGACGCCGCAATCAGACGCCCCACCGACGCGCTGCAGCGAGAAGCCGTACCGGGAGAGGGTCCCCGCGATGGTGTACTCGTAGTGCGTGCCGACAAACACCGTGGACTTGTCGTCGAGCCCGGTCCGCTTGGCGTAGGCCAGGAACGTGGGGAGGTCGCGATGCTGCGACGCTGTGCGGTTCTCTGGGTACAGGAGCTTCTCGGACAATCGAGGCCTCGCTGCGCAGAACCAGCGGGTTGCTTGGGTGCAGCTGGCCCTATAGGCGGTGGCCAGCGGGCGCGACCGAATAGGCCGAATCATGTTTGTTCATCTCAGAACAGCGATTTTGAACAAAAGAAAGAAACTACCTTGTAAAAGCGATCATGACATTGTTCAAATTGTCGATGCCACGAGGTTTAGGAATCGACTTATTCCAATAAGCGGGACTATGTCTATAGTGGGGCAGCCACCCTAAACTAAGATACTCTCATCTACAATCCTCCCGTCGTACCGACATAAAAATGTTGAATCAAATAGTATTGAACCATCGAGTTTATGGTACTTGGGCCATCAGATCCCTTCTCACCCATCGATGTAGGCTTAATCTCGATAATGTTGACTTGGCAGAACTTCACTTTCGTTAGCCTGCGGAAAACATCTTGTTTTATTTCCTTTGTCATGAAATATCCTTATTATATAGCACGATCATCCAACTGTGCTGTGTCCCTCTCAATATATAATATAACTATCTCTTCTCTCCAAACATGCACAGCATCTCTGGTATGTAAGATTCACACATAGATCTCCCTCGACACTGATCTTCCACCCTCTCCCCTTATTACCATAGTGATGTTGATTACCATACAACTCGCCAGGATAGCATGTCCTCTTTCTTGTCTCAAGAAGAATAAAGCCAATATATCCATCGTTATATGAATGTACACTTATTGACTTTATCATCCCACAACGGTGTTATCTCTCCCGCAAGTGAAAATTAGTTATGGGCATTTGATGCCTGTTTGTTCAGAGGTGGAATGGGTGGGATCTCTTCCTTCTGTCTCTCGTCTCTTGATCGACTAGCATACCGACGGAGGCTCGGTCGTGTAGTATTCGACGACTGGGGTCTGACTATAGTCTCCACCATGCTGGTTTGAGCCACATGCCCCAAATGAGGTCTTTCATCGTCAACATCAGACAACCCTCCTGACTGGTACTCGTCGTCTGAAGCTAGGTCAGGCAAGTGTGTGTGGTAAGATGCCGGGGTTGATGGAGAAGTGATGGATCGAGAATGCAGACCAGGCCGTAGAACCGATCCCATAGCAAAAGCCGCGGGATTCATGGTGTTATGGCCACTTGTGTCCCGCGGAGGACGGTCAACAAATCCATTCTGAAATGAAGTATTGTTGGACGCCTCATGTAAGATGGGGAGAATCTGTTCGTCGTACAGCTGCGTCCCCGACTCAAAAGATTCGGGCGTGAACTCCGTGATTGTCCTTGATGAATCTAAGTCATCGTCCGTGTGCGGCTCATCAAAGAAGTCGTCAAGACTATCCAGCTTTGTCACAAGATCCCCAGCATGTCCGCCATCTCGAGGCCCATCAGACAACATGGTTGTAGTCCTGGTATTATCCTCAAAGTATCCATATGATAAGTCGTCAGAAAACTCCAGTGAAGCAGTTGGTGTTGCCTCTGGAGAAGCGCCTTCTGCCCCTTGACACATGTAGAATGCTGCATGTATATTCGCCCGCGTCACCTCCGTCTTCTTAGCTGGGATCGGGATAGCCCAGCCAGATGCCTCAGGAATGCCAAATAGACTCTGCGTGTGCTCGTACTCTTTGCGGACAGATTTCGAAGTTGCTCGAGTCATACTCATTCTCAAGTGGTGCTTATCCATGTGACTGCCAGACATTGCCATGATCTTGTCCATCACATCCAGAGCTTCCATGCAAAAGTCCGTCTGTAACAGTCGAAGCAAAGGCGAGATGAGATCCGACCCATGTCCGGCCAGTTCAGGATTCCGCATATCAACTTCTGGGAGGGCAACGCACAAGATGCGCATAGTCTGTATCTTGACCCAGGACAGCGAGTTAGTTAGTAGCCCCACGAGGAAGGTGATCAATTTAAAGTCGAACTGCGGCAGATAGTACTCCCGAATAGCTGAGAAGAGTTGGCTTAGGAAATCTTGACTACTGCGGAATTTCCCAGCAGTGTAATCGCCGAGGGCAACTATGATGCTATCATATCCTTCTGCTTCTGCTTCTTTTCTTAGCAGATGAGCTGTTCCCAAGGTTTGCTCACTTGGGATTCCTCGTTCAAGCTCGTCTATGAATCGTGGGAAATTGGCCAGGAGTGAGAAAAACAAACGGTCATCGCTGCCCACCAGGTTGTCAACGGGGATCTGGATTAATTTATCCATGATGTCCAGAGTCGGTTGCCAGCAAACTGAAGATCTCAGCCCCTTTTGGAGTAGCGACTGTAGACCAGGGAAAGGCTCCTCCCACCGTCCAGGCCGCCCTTCCAGAAGGGTCCGCCTCACAACAGGGGAGCGGAAATCCAACTTGAGAAGCAACTCGTTCAGCATTTCCACAGCCTCTAAAAACTCCATCTCGTTGATGGATTCAAGACATGCGCAGGTAGTCCAAAACAATTGAGGAAATGTGAGAAGCCGGTCCGAATCTAACTTGATAATGAGAGTCTTCAATGTCGTGAGTATCTCCATCGAGAAGAACTGGATCTCAGGATCCTCGTCGGCAATTGTGTTCGACAGCCTTGCAAGCATATCTCCCAACATGTATTGATCCAATGATGTGAGGACGCAGCGAAATACCTGGAATGAGCGGCAGGCTAGGTGACGAACAGGGCAAGATGTAGCCCATGTCAGTGAGAGACGGCCCCATCGCTCCTTGAGGCCCGGGAAGCATGCCTCAAATGTGTTGACGACCTTAGTGGCGAGGAATGCCATACTTGGAGGGACCCTATTTTCTCGGTCGTCTGCCTTTCCATTGCTATCTTCATAGCCCCAAACCACTGTTCGATCTTGTTGCCGAATCCGATCTACAAGATCTTCGATTTCTTTCTTCTGCGCACCTTGCGTTTGGTCATCGATTCGAGATATTACAAGCTCGTGGATCAAGTGTACCAGCATTTCATGGGACTGGGCTTGGACCATTGGCATGTAATGGTCCCAGAGCACGGTGGCGACATGCAACAGTAAGGGGACGTTATCTTGAGACATTTGGACCGGCGAGACCATCAAGTCAACAAGCAAGATCATGCTCAACTGGCCAAGAGATAGGCCAGCTTGCTTTGTTCCTATAGGCAGAATCTCCGAGATATCAGCGCAAAATGGAAACACGTTGATGTCCGCAGGAGGACCTGCAGGGACCTTCTTCTCATTGGGAACCATAGCCCTTGGTGTTATCTGCATGAGAAGATACTCAATTACTTTGACACCGCTATTTGTGGTTGAAAGAAAGACAACAATCTGCTTCGCATACTCTACGAAGTTCTGCTCGCGGTGCTCTAGACATAGCTGAATGATAAAGTCCATGACTAGACGAACATTACCGGGATAAGGTCCAGTGGCAAGGGCTTGCCAAAGGGCCTGCATTTCATTATGCAGTGCTCCTCCAGACTTGATGGTGATCTCCAAAAGGTTAGCAAGTAGAACATACGAACTGGCTGTCGGTCCCCCGTTAGGGTCCAACTTTAATTCGATGGACTGGATCCATGGCAGCACTACAGCTATAACATTGCGCTGTGCCATGGGTTGCAAGTCTTTGAAGTAGAGCGTGAACTCGGAGAAAACGTGAAAGGCGAGATCGGTGTGCTGCTTGGAGAGTCTTTTGGATATCTCGAATTGTGCTAGCTTGTAGACTGCCTGGGTTTTGTCCGAAATGCTGATGTCGAAATCTTGGATCTTCGAGTTTCGCTTCTGTCTTGCCTCCAGCGTACGAATGACTGTTGTCGACTTCGATCTTATATCGCTTTGGTCATTTCCAAGAGTGAAGAGGCAAAGGCCAAGGACTCTCCAGAATGGACAAGGGTAGTTCGGTTGATCTTGCAAGACCTGTGTTATCACGGCAAAGTAGCTTTCAAGCACTTTGGGGCTATCCGCCAGACAACATCTCGCAATGCAATGTTCAAGCAGATAAGGATATTCTTGATTGTGAACGATGAGGTTCTCCAGTGCTCTTCGCCCAATAAGATTCATCCGATCACTCCCTGAGTTGAAGATATCTTCGATCCAGGCAAGCATCCTACGGACATCAAATTGGAGCGTTGCCCCGCTCTCTGTGGTGACACTAATCGGACCAGCGCAGAGAGCTGCCATTGCACTCAGGGCTGCAGTGCGGAGATTTCTCTTCTCAATCTCCATTGCCGCTGTGACCGTGCCTCGCTCGGCCATTGCTTGTTGGTTGATGACCGACTGCCTCATTGTGGCTTCTCGCTCGCGGATCTGGTTGCGATTCGGGGAAAATCCGCACCAATCCTCCATCAAAGAAAAGGCAGATTTACGAGACTCAAAAGTCATCCATCGCGATGGATCTTTAGTTCGGTTGATGCCATCGAAAAGAGCCTCCATAAGACCACAGTAATGGCGCCTTAGCTTCTGGAATTCCCAGTCCAGCTGTACCTCCCCATCCATAAGAAAAAGTTTCACATCTTTAGTGTATGTAGTAAGGGTCCCTAGGAAGAAATCCGCTTGGTATACTTCTTGCTCCTTAAGGAAATGCGAAGTGAGTTTAAACACGTGGGCAATCTCCGTCCTCAACAGGTCCATTTTGCGATTTCTCCGAGGACTACTATTCGTGCGCTGATGAATACGAGCACGCGCCTCGTCATTACAACGCATGACTTGACCTTGGAGCTCTTCCAGTAAAGTGCGATAGATGTGAATGTTGGCTGAGCCCATGGATACCACAACAGCGTCTCTAACTGAGGAGGTTGAGGATGACAATAGAGGTATCAAGTACTTGAACAGTGTCCGGGCCGTGACCATCCTATCACCTGATGTCTTCGAGTTCTTTCGAGAATGCGCATCAGATCCAGTGGCTGTATAAGGTGATTTACCAGGATCGGCAAGCGTAGTGCAAGCGAAGATGAGGTAAAGCTTCCATTGCTCTACCATAACCTCTGGGTGGGCGGCAGGGGACTGTGCAGGTCCCCGAGCACTGGACGGATCAGCGCCACTCGCATGGGGGAACCGGGAGGGCTCCGCGAGAATCACAATTGGCTTGTACATCTGCAACGTTCGGTCGCAAACGAGATCTCGGCAGATAGCCACAGTGAAAGGGCATTTCTCGGCGGCAATTCTAATC